ACCAGTTCACAAAGATGGCTCACTTTATCTCTACAACAAAGAAGCTGACATCAGAGAAATTGGCCCATCTCTTTATTCATGAGATAGTGAGATTGCACAGATTATCTGCAAGCATAGTAACAGATCAAGAATCTCTGTTTGTGAGTGAATTTTGGGGTGATTTGACTCACATCTTGAAGATCACAAGAGCAATAAGCATGGCATTCCACCTGCAAACTGATAATCAGACTGAGAGACTGAATAGTGTGCTGGAGCAGTATCTGCAAAGCTATGTCAATTATGATCAAGATGACTGGGTGATGTGGTTGCCAATGGCTGAGTTCACATACAATAACTTGCAACAGGCTTCCACACAGAAATCATCTTTCCAGCTGACATATAGATTAAATCCACAAACAGAATTCTTGGACCCTGATGAGTATAGCTATGTGTGCAAGAATTCAAGAGATCAGGCAGAGGCAATGAGATTGCTCCATGAAGAGGCCAAGAAATTACTTATGAAGGCACAAGCCTACCAGAAGAAGTACTACAATCAGAAGCACATCACAAAGATCTTCCAGGTGGGAGACAAGGTGTGGCTTGACCTTCACAATATCAAGACTGTACAGCCTAACAAAAAACTGGATTTGTTGAGGCATGGGCCTTGTAGAATTGTGAAGAAGATAGGCTCACAAGCCTACAGACTGGAACTGCCTCCAGGTCTGTGAACTCATGATGTCTTTTATGTATTCCTGCTCCACAAACACAAGACCTGCAAAGAAATCAATAGCTCATCTCATCACAAAGTTCACAAGGTGAATGAGGATGAAAAGGAGTACCAGGTCCACAAGATAATCAACTCAAAGAGAGAGGGTTGCAAGCTGTGGTACAGAGTATATTAGGAAGAATATGATGATGAGAAGAACAAGACATGAGTTCCCATGAGCAATGTCTGTCCACTGAGAAAGCTACTCCAACAATTTCATAGTAGAAACCTGGACAAGCCTGGTTCACAAAAGAGATGAATGGAGGTAGTGGAACTAGAAAATGGGTTAGGGAGAGAAAAGATATAGTCAAACTGAACTGAATTCAATTGATTTCAAAACAAAAGAAGAAAAAACTAAACTAAGACTATATAATTAGAGCCTCCAGCTCCTCCTGCAAAGACCTGTAACAACTACCCATAACCTCACTGCTGGAAAGAGCAAGCAAGGTGCCCACAGTATAGACAGTTGTTATATTTTTGACCCAAGCCTGCAGAGATGCACTCTGTGAAGACTATATTGTTATAGTCTTGCTGAGCTCTCTTGCAAGCAGAGCACTTCTGTCCAGATGGTGGCTGGACCCCAGCTCAAGTCACAAGAATTCTCTCACAGAGCTGAGCACACACAGCCAACTGGTTTGGATTATCCAAACCAGCAATAAGCACAGGCCTTTGGATAGGCTCACAACACCATGCTCTTTTGCGGGCAGACAAAGCTTGTGCCCCTGTGTGGGGGGGGAGGCCTGGAAGGACCACCAGATTGGCCTGTGATGCACCAGTGAAAGTAGCAGCTGGTGACATTTGGGTGAAGGTGGTCTGGGACCACCATTGTTGGTCCTGTGGGGGGGGTGCTGGGCAGTCTCAAGCACCCCGCGGGACCACAGCACCCACAAACCCTGCTGGTGCAGAGGAAACAACAACAACACCCTAGAACTGTTAGTTGCAAACACTTCCCAAACTTCTCACAACTACTCACCAAAGGCCCAATCTCATCCATAAAAGGGGGGGTGGGGGTCCTCCCAAGGGAGGAAAGCAGAGACAAGTCACAAGAGAGGGGGGGAGGGGACTGCACACCAGCAGCAACTGCTAGCAAGCATCAGTCTCTCCACAAACCAAACCCCATGCAAAGACAAAACCTAATAGCCACATGAAGCAAAGGCACAACCAGAGGTGAACTCACCAGCTTGTGGCCTTTCAGCTAATCACACAGAACATCAAAGTGAAGCCATTTTTCTTCCAGAACATCAGAGACCTCCCACAAGCCTGCCTCCCACACAAAGCAGTGCTTGAAGGGTTCACTTATCTTGATAATGGTGATATAGACTAGAGAAGAAAGAGAAGAAAAGAAGAGAAAAAGAAAGCAAGAGAAAGCTCTCTCTTAAGCTAGTGTTCATTATCTAATAGTGACACAGAGTTAGCAAGAACAATAGAGACTCTCTACACATTGTTATGTTATTGGGTTCTGTTGTGTTATTAGAGTTGTGTTGATATTACATCTCTAGTGAAGCTGTACTCTTTTCCTTATGAGGAAATTTTTATTTTTCCCAAGAGGTTTTTTGTTTTTCTACTCATGAAGGTTTTTAACAAGACAGCCACCTTGAGAGACCAAGGCTTACAAGGGGGGGGAATCTGTAAGGATTCACTGTGAACCCCTTACACAGATAAACAGCATCTGTGAAGGCCAGAGGCCTCAGCTTGTGAGCTGCTGGGAGTTGCATGTGTCCTCACAAGGCACTAAGTCACATGCTTGCAAGCACACATAAAAGGCTGTCACTGTACAAACCTCTTGCTGGAAGCCAGTGGCAATCTTGTTTACAAGTCATACATAGTTGCCAGAATACAGACCTTTTACCTCACATACTCTTTTCCATGTATATTCCTCCTAGAGATTCATTGTCATGCTGATCCACATGTACAATTCTCACATTCTGCTACACCATTTTGCTCAGGTGTGTATGGAGCAGTCACTTCACATTCAATTCTACAGGCCGGGGTGAATTTCTTCTTAAATAGTGAAAATTCAGTGCCTCCATCCATTCATACAGTATCCATGTAGAAACCTAGTAGATTCCTGAGCCTCTTGACATGCTCCTGAAGGCTACATGAAGCTTCAGCTTTATTCTTGAGTAGTATAACCCATTTAAAATGTGTGCAGTCATCCACAATTATTAGAGCATATTTGAAGGCTTGAAAACTCATTGGCTTTATGGTTTGAAGATTAATATGGATCTTCTGCCCAGAAACCATAGACTGGATCTGTGGTGTTCAGGATATCTGCTGTTTTGACCTTTCTAGTGCACATGCTTTGCAATGGAAAGTATCTTGATCTTCTATTTTGATTTCCTGGTCTTTTGCTGCTTTTCATGCAGTAGGGAATGTACAGTGTCCCAGCCATCTATAGAGAAGCTCCAGCATGAGCTTCATAGTAGTGTATGTCTGTTGAATGGCTTTCTCTTGCTGATGAAGTGGCTCTGTCTCAAGAATTGTAACACCATCACTTTTCTTAGCATATTCCACTAGTTTGTGGTCTCTTTGTGTTTGCAGTGTGTGGTCTACTTCCATAAAGTAGAGATTCAACTTTTCAGTCAACTGGTTTGTGGAAAGCAAATTTGTGCCTAACTTCAGATTATACCATGCATGTATATGAATCTTGTTAACAATGCCATCCTGAATGATGCATCTAACATGTACTATGCCACTACTCTTTATGGAAATGATTTCTCCATTCAAAGCCCTGTACCAATGGTCTGTAGTAGAATCAAAGCTAGTAAAGTAGACTTTATTGTAACAAATCAAGTGGCTGCAGCATGTGTCAACAAGCCAGGTTTCCAGATCAACAGCTCTTTTGGATACAGATGCCACCAAGCCAGATCCAAATGCTATGCCAGCAAAGCTATTTTCAAATCCCATTATGAGATGATTTTCTCCTGTATTATTCTTAGCATCTTCACTGGAATTTGGTTGCTGAGATTTGAATTGGCTCTGATTTTTCTGTTCAGAATTTGTGTGCCATCTTTCTTTGGGCCTTGGTCTCATCCATAAATGTGGCTTTGGCTTCCATTCTTGATATCTCTTGTTGGTAAAAAGGTGAGGGCATTATTGTATGGCATGACCTGGAGTCTCACAATATCTGCAGTTGTCACCTATTTTGCTAGATATTTTTTTGCATAAGAATTTGACATGGTCATCCCACAAGACTCCCTTCTGTGGAGCATATTTTCATACAATTTGCTTGTTGGGGGTGGTCTCTTTGAATTTGATTTGTCCAGTTATATATATTCTGCTCAGAGCTTCCACATATTTCTTTGCCTCCTGCACAAGATTCCTCATATCCTCATATGTTATGTCACTTGGGTTTGTATTTTGAACTATTAATAGCACACTATCTGTGTAGTTCTCATTAATTGCTTGTACACCCTCAATTATCTTGTTAATTACTAGAGAAGAATGTAATGAATGAGGAGCTCACAATATCCCCTGGTATTGTTCAAGCAGTATGTCAAGATATTATGTAACTGATCCATAGTTGTGTTGACATGTGTAGAAATAATTCTCTGCCACATGAATGCATGTATTTTTATCAGGCTTTAGAAAGAGCTGCTTTGTGTAGAATATCATGAGAGCAGAGTCATTAATGTCACCTCCATAGTACTTGCTGATTCAATCTTGAGCATTGTCTTCCATGCTTAAGCTGAGCCATGTAGTGAAGGATGTCATGGCACTTTGCCATTTAATTTGTATATCTTCAGAAGCCTCTGTAGGCTCTGGCACTACTGCATTGTATAGAATCTCCCAGCCATAGTGGTTTAGCTGCAACCTGACAATGTTTAATCAAGTATTCACATTTTTCTCATCTTGTAGCATGGGGATTGATCAAATTGTTGTTCCAGTAATGTCTGTAATCATTTTGTCTGCTATATTGAAATTTCTTTTGATTCAGAAAGTTGTTTCTCTGAATTAGCAGCCTGCAATGCTGCTCTGTAGAAAGCCAACCTGCTGTGTGATGCCTGCTGGCTGTAAATGTGCACTCATGTTGGTGCTAGCATTCTTCATATGTCCTGCTGGACTCATATTTCTGGAGATTGAATTAGGAGTTGGAGCTGAGAAGCTCTCCAGGTCAATGTCCATCATTCCATCAAGGGTTTTTCCTCTTTTGGCAACTCCAAAGGCTTCAAAGATTCCTAAAGAAGGGCTCAGAGCCTCTTGGAAGAACTTATGAGGCTACTAACCATATGCAGAAGCTATAGGAACCACAGAATGTGAACTCAATAGATGTGCATGCCCTCTCTCCTCTCATCCAAAGAATTGTGGGATGAGAAGTGAGATGAAAACTCTGCATCAGATCAAAGAAGATCCGAGCCGCTAAGCTGGAGACTAACTACATAGAGACTAGTGTCTCGACAACCTTCCTACCGCCCACACTCTCAGTTCCCATGTTGCAGCCCTAAATGATTCCATAACCGCTAGCTGAGGACTCCATGCGAAGTATATACATATGTACATAGTTATAGATCGGACGGTGGGGCGGCCACTTCGATTCCTTGAACTCCGGCTTCACTCGCCCGACTTTGAAGTAATCGGAGAAACGCCCCGTGGTCGAGACGCACCCGAGCCAGGTCTTCCGACGTCAACAGCACCTGGAAGTCCGTGGAAGCGACGTCTGGTTGGACTACAACCGCTGGCGTCTGCACTTTGGCCTGTCGTATCCAGTCCGCCAGCGCCGGTGGGAGTTCATCCGTGTGAAGTTGCATAATGGTCGCATGGAGGATACGCGCTTTGGTGGCCTTCCATTCCGCGCTTTCGGCCAATCGTAGTGAGACTCCATGCGTCAGTTCGCACGCAGCACAGGCCGGTTTCGTAGCAGGATCTGGGCAGGTGCTTTTGCGATAAACATAATTGATCTTGCCCAGCAGGCTCGATTTGGCGTTGTAGATAATGTAGAGGGTGGTTGAGGGAGTGTCCGGAGTACCAGCTGACATCCCGATCAGTAGATGAGTAGGTTGAACACGTTTTTGATTGTAGAGATAGGCCAAATAGCAGGGTATTATTATCCAATGTGCAGGTCCAGGAATTTGTTTGATGAGAGTTTGCAGTTTAACAAGTATTTATACTAGTACAGAATATTACTCTGCATTTCTGTTTGACTCAATGGGCTTATCTCTTGCAGCAAACCTTCAGCACTGCCATGGGAATTATTTACACTGTGGCGACATTGGGGGCTTCACGGCGGGATGATCCATGTTTGGTATTGCATGCTCCTTAACAGAGTAACCTAAATTGGTCTTAAAGTTACAGAGTAACCTCCGAGCGAAACCAACTCTCATGAATAATGTGTGAACTGCAGTGAACCAAACCATCCCAACTTCTCGAGAAGCCACTTCCAGAGTGAGTTCACTACCTCTGCTTATAGAACAGATATCCCCCTCCAGCTTACACGGACACCCCATACAGAGCGGGAGAGAAGCTCTCCATGGGAAAGGCGAAGCCTCCGGAATTTGGCTCTGGTAGAAAAGCCACACTTCTATCAACAATCAATCAGAGCCTGTCCTTCCATGCATCGCCGGAGCTATTTCTGTCCACCGCACCCGGGGCGGCAGATGAAACTCGAGATCAATCGAATGCATTGCCTTCCATTGTTCGCGCAAAGATCCTGAATCGCGACGTCGCCGTCATCTCCTCGTACCGGCACTGTCGGGACATTCTCCAGGCTACGCATGGCGCATCATTATCCCCCACGGAGCCTGGATCTGTGGCCCGTGACGGTGGCGATCCCATCACCCCTAGTACATTTACCGTGGGTCCTGCGTATCGCGAACTGATGTCTGATTTTTTCCCGCTGCCAAACCTGCTCCTGCTGGACCTCCCAGGACATTCACAGGCCAAGTTGCATTGGGAAGAGCACTTCGCCCGGGTATTCGCTCAAATCCCAAATCTTATACGGGACACCGTTGTCCACCATTTAACTACCTGGTCACATGGCTCCACGGTCGACCTGTACGAACAAATGAAAGATCTCTCCTGGAAAGTTCTGTGCGCCGTATTCCTCGGCTTGTCGCCTGGCGATGACCAATACCGCACTATCATCTCTCTCCAGGAGGACTTAATGCGTGGACAGTTCTCGCTTTTTCCGGTCTCCATCAATACCCCACTCTGGCGATCCCCGCGGTGCAAGGGCATTGAAGCGAGGAAAAAGCTTCAGGTTGTCCTCGGGGAGATGATAACGACGCGGACAACGGATAGTAATCCTACCTGCCCCTTCGCCCAACCAAGCGATAGCGATGGAGGCCTCAACAGTGAAGAGCTAGCAGGGAACACCCTTTTATTCACTAGCTCTATCGCGATCAAAGCCTTGGCTTCGCTCCTGACAGCTTCTCTGCTCAACCTCTTTCTCTTTCCCAGCCAACCTCCATTGGCTTCCTTGGTTCGTCGAAAACACGCTCATGGGAAAACGCATGAGGACGGTGACCTACTTCGGAGTATTCTCTTAGAGACGGAGCGGTTGAGTCCGCCGGTGATCGGGGTGATGCGACGCGTTGAACATGACGTGGTTCTCACCGAGTGTGCAACGGATCCGGCTCTGCAACACCAGGTGGTCGTCCCCGCAGGATGGGACGCATGGCTGTACTTTGTTGGCGCATCCCGAGATGCCTCAATCTATCAAAATGCGAGCCAATTCATCCCAGACCGATTCCTATCGCAGCTAGAGCCCTCACCTCCCTTGGCATTTGGCGCAGGAGCCAAGGCCTGTCTGGGTCGCGAGGTGACGAGGACGGTGGTGAAGACGGTAGCATCAGCGATGCTAGAGACTGGGATAGACTTGGTAGGGTCGATTGATCGGAAGGGGGTTCGAGGGTGGCTAGGATGGGACGACAACGTGCCCGTCGATATTATTGCAAAGGAACTGAAGCAACTGCCCTGTCAGCGACCACGAGAGCCCATTCGGGTACGGGTTGTTCGTGGGGAGTAAGAATGTCTTGATTGGTATATTCCCTCAAAACACAGAGCCAAATATGTAAATAGATACCATAGCACCGAGACAGTGTCTCACGTAGAAAATTTACGACAGGCGATTGAAAGACGCCATCATGCAAATTTCTCAATTATCTGATCAGATATTTAAATACCCATTTTCTGATCCCAATGAGCAACCAAGCTGTGTTGGAGGCCATGATAACCCCAGTGCCCAACTGGCACTGCCATCGTAGACGGCGGAAGGCCTCGAGGGCGGATACACCAGTCCAGGCGCCAAACAGCTTCACAATCCAGTACAGAAGATAAACCCGAACCATCGCATAGGTAGCGAGATATAGAGCGTGTGTCACGCAAATGCTGCCTCTCCATCCAGGACGGAACTTTGCCAGGAACCAGTGTAGAGTTCCAATGGGTGTGCTATACCGACAATTTTTTTTTTTTTTTTCGCGTTAGCTTCATTTCCCTCCAGAGGGATCAAATAGGACCTAGAGCATAGGAGCGTAGTTGCTTTTATTCTTGTTTTTATATCTTTACAAGGGAAGATTTGGGGGTGGGGGGAAGAAGCTGCGGCGAAAGCGACACTGAGGGGCACTCACGAGCCATTCATCAACATCATTATCAGAAGAATGAGCACTCCCTTGGCCTCTCCGCGCTGTGCACGCCATTGAAACATACCAAGGCCAGCAACGACGCCCAAGTGATGCCAGCCCAACACCCGCCAATTGACGTTCCGCGCCAGCACAGATCGCGCACGGCCATCGCTTGCCGTTCGTCGTGCCCCCAAGACAAGCACTGCAAAATCCTGGATCAGGTAGCCGCACTCAAACGCCAGAATCGCGTTCGCAAGTGGCGGTTTCGCCTCGAGGATATTGATATGGTTTTTCTTCGCAGACAAAGGCTGCCGTTCAGATTCCAGAGCGGTGGCGTGCGGGTCCCAATCCCGCCGCTGTTGATGCAGCTCGTAGAGTGTTGCGGAAAGGACTAACACACAGTGAGCCACGGAGAGAAGTTCCCGCGATTTCATAAACTGAGCGGTGGTGCTGTTGCGAGGAGTGATCGCCCGTAACAAGAGAGGGTATGTAACGGCAGACGAGGCCAAGGCTACGTTGGTATGCATGTACATTTCCCAGATATGAAGAGCGCATTATCATCCCTTGGAATGGGAGGGAATATTTTTTGGAATGGAGGAGAGACGCAGCCAGCCTGGCATTAGGACTATCTTTATATTTCTCTTTACATCTTGTGGAAGGGTGGACATCACGTAAGCTGAAGCTATGCAGGGAGAGAAATACGGCAAACCAAAACTGAAAATCACCAAAAAAAAAAAAAAAAAAAAAAAAAAAAGAGAGAAAGAGAGAGAGATAATGAATAATATAGTCGCGATCAAGATGACAACCTGTACGGGGTACGGAGTACGGAGTATTTAATTGAATTATCTTTCTTGCTGTGTTTGCTAGTAATAAAATCTTTCTGTCCAGCCTGATGGGGCTTCTTCAATTCTATGGTAACCAGTCCTGTCGCCCTTCCCCCTTTTTCCTGACTCCACACTACATTCTCGTTGCTTTCTTCCAGCATGTTGGTATGGTGGTTGCTAGGTTGCCGCTCCTCTTATCCTTTACAACATAATCTTCCCAGGACCGATATGCCGTTTAAGATTGAAATAAACAAAAACCAGGGCAGCATATTCAAACCAGTTTTGATGCCACCCACTCATCAACACATAGACCAACGGGGTTATTGCTCGAATTCAGCCACGAACAGCTGAACTTTGGATCAAGCCCACCACTCCCTGATTAATCGATCCGGGCTCCCTCTAATGACTCCAGCCAATTATCCCACCAACAAAAAAACGGCTGATAAAACCGTTTGCCTTCCCGATGGTGCAAAGCATGCTTTCTAGGCCCAGCACCCCAACCCTGAGGAAGGATCTTGTCGTACTGCCAGTCGAGGTCAACACCGGAGTGCACCTCGATCAGCAGGTAGACAAACACGGGTACAAACAGGGTGCGCGTCAAGACATGGCTGCCGATGATATTCAAAGAAAAATTGGCCAGCAGGATCAAGGAAACACGTTCTGCGACAGACAAGCGGTTGGTGACCTGCGGGTGAATCTCCAAATGGCCGTGGTGAGGGCCGTGAATGCGATGCAGCGCCCGGATCCGGTGAAAGGCAATGTGAATAACGAAGAACAGCGCGTCATATATGAACAATGATACGGCCAGCTCCAGCAGAACACGGCGGCTTGTCGGCGGCTCGTGAGGCAGTGCTCGCACCAACTGTAGCGGCGACTTCCAGGAGAAGCGATGCAGTGTCGGTGCGAGAAAGGTGGTCTTAATATGCCCCGGGGTTGTCGGTGAGGCCGGGGGGTAACCGCCACTCACCCTGATGGCGTTGATGTCAACACCAGCGTACTTTTTGATCAGGGTCAAGTCGAGCAGCAACAAGGGCGAAACATAGATGAGAAGCTCCCGGAGTCGACGAGACGGCCGCTTCATCTTTGGGAGCTTCGGTCGAGCTTTATTGCCGGAGTTCGCCCCATCTCTCACATCGATACGACGCGAGGGGTTCCTCGCGAATCGCGCGGTGTAAATGGGCTCGATGGTGATGTAGCAGAGCACCGTCTCAACGGTCTCAAAGAAGCTTCGGTTAAAAAATGGCCATGTATAGAGGTAGCGATAGAGGGCTGAAACCACCGGCTGCCATGCTGATGGCCATAGGATGCCTGTGCAGACAATGGCTAGCAGGATAACTCGCGGGAACCACACGGACAGTGGAATTGTCATGGTGGTGGAATTGGGCTTTTTTGGATGGTATTCCTACAAGGAAGAGTGATCATTGTGAAACTGCCAGCAGAGGGAACTGGAACCAAAATAACAGTGGATACTGGACAAGCTCTCTTGTGGCCTTTTGAGGATGCGTGATTCCAAATCGTGTCCCAAGCCTCGAGCGGCGATGATTCGGATTGTTTGAGGTTGCATTCCTAGTCTGAACCTTCAGGGATCCCTGCGGCACACGGAAAGATCACATGACTACCCGTTGAACAAAGCCTATCAACATTCCTTCTCTGGATTTTACTATTATGATTGAAACGGATGTGTCAGGGCGTCCTGAAGAGGTCTTCTGATACCCAAGCCGTACAGACAGAATGTCTTATTGAATCCTCTGAAGTTTATGGAATCTATCGGCCTTCTACCCGGCTCCAACAAGCATAACCACGTTCTATATTGTTCAAATATACAATTCAGCCTGGGGCATTCTCTTGATATAGCCAAGAGCCGAGATCTCAGGTTTTCTTTGATTTTGCCTTTGCCTTTAAAGATTTCCTCCTGGCAGGCCTTTTAGTCATGATCCCTTCGCCCTCCGATTCCTCGGCCATTGCCTTTGTTCTGGGACCACTCTTGTTGCTCCCTGGTTCATCATTTTTCATTTTGCGCTTTACAACCCGCTTTTCAGGCCGAAGCCAGTGCTCCATGCCAACAGGCCAATAAACCCTCCCTTCAGGGCCACCAATGTCAATCCCGTCCTCTAATTCACGGGGTCTGACATGTGGAATAATTTCATTCATTTTTTCAAAGCCAGGAAGCTTGTAGGTCTTCATCAAGTCGAAGACAGCTTGTTCTTTATCCTTGGCTTCAATCATCAAGTCCATAGTTGGGTCACAGGGTGGTAGCATCTGTACCCTTGAATTGTGTTTTCGCCGCTGCATTTTCGTAATAGCGGACGGTGTCGGCTCTGAATAGTGCATCTTTTGTGTGATTCCCTTTTTAGTCCATGTAGCTCTAATTCGGTCATATAACTTTATAATATCCAAAGTGCCTTCACGGATTTTATCGGCATCGAAGTTGATATTGTGATGGTGATAATCAAGAACCAAAGGAATATCGAGCTCTTCGCAGACAGGCAGCAGGTCATGAACTGTCCAGTTGACATCGTCATTCTCCAAAACCAACCTTTTTTTAATATCCTGTGATAAGGTTTTGTAAACAGCCTTGAACCTCTTCAGGGTTGCCTGTTTATCTCCAAAACTCCCACCCATGTGGATAATCATAACGGCATCGAGGTCTTGTTGCGGCGGTAACTTCAGGAGGCCCAACATTTCGGCATGATATTCAAGGTCTCGGATTGAGCTTTCAATGACCTCGCGGCGTGGTGAGCCGAGTTGAGTGAACTTTATAGAACAAAATCTCAGCAAGGGTAGATTTTTAAAGCGAACAAAAATCATACTTGACCAGGGTGAACTGTCAGTCTATGACCTAATTCTGTGGCAACTTTACCAGCGTCTGCTAGTGCTTCAGACGCAAACGGTGCGAGCCTGTATCCATGTTCGGGATGGCTGGCAAATGGAAACATTTCACTGCTCAGCCTCATAAACCGTATGCCAAACCGCTCATTCCAGCGCAGCATCTTTATTATGTCCCTTGCATTCGCAAGGCCAAGGGCCTGAACATATAATTCGCCCCTAACAACGTCTGGGGTTTGATCCCGATCTGGACGGTTTTTCGTCGGATGCGCAGGTTGAGACGGGTCCTTTAAAGGGTGCCGATACTCAAGAATGGACGCAATCCGACATGTACGGGAGCAAAAGACAGGAGGGTTACAGTTCCGGAGATACGTGCAGAGACAGGCCTTAAAGTCATCAGCAAGGGTTCTTTCACATCTCAGTTACTACGCAGTGACACCCACATATCCTAGGCGTCCTCTCCAGGGGAGAGGCAAATAATCACTGTTCACAGGTGGTGGCCGCGCCGCAGCTCCTTTCACCTCCTCCTCCTCAGCTGGCTCCTCTGAATCTATTTCTGGATCCAGCATATCCAAATGTTCTGTTTTTGAGTTGGCGAATCCATTGGCCTGGATTGCGGCGATGGTTTCCCCATAATCACTGACCGCAGAAGATAGTGACGACTCCGACTCGGTGCCGGAGATTTTGTAATTGTGGGTTGCAACATTACGCCTGGTTGCTCTCGCCATGATTTGTCGATCTACCCGCGATTGCCGGTCAGCAAGAGCTACTCTTCCTCTAGGATGGAGGACTCGAATCAAAACCCGCAACATGAACCCTATTAATTTGTCGATAAGCCATTGATGCCAAATACCCAGGCATAGGGATAGTCTGAGAAGCTCACACCTCGAGGCTCGTGCAGTTCCCTAGGTAGAGACAAGTTCGGTCGAATTGGTCTTGCTATATTTCGGTGAGTGACGTAACCAACCAGCTTTCTTGGAAGCTTCAGCAAAGTGGAATCCAAAGGTCAGCTATATGCCCACTGCAGCCCCTATTCGATACATGTTGCCCGTTCAAATATATATATATATATATATTACTTGCCCGGCAGATTGGAGTGAATCAAAATCTTATGGCATGGGTCAGAAGGACCCCAACGAGAAACTTTCAATTTAGTTACTTGGGTTGATTAATGATGGTTAAAGTACCAATCGAACTCTTGCTAGATATCGTAGAGGCGGACACACCTAGTGAAGATAATAGAAAGCCTAATCAACCGCTGCAAGACGTTATGTATACTAACAGGCATACATTCGTGTTATAATGACACTTTCCGGCTACGCTATAAATTTAGCCGGAGATCCTTCAGTGGTTTCGATATAACGAAGGTGGATTCAAAAAAAGGATCATGGTCCTGTATTCCCGAGAGTCGATTCCATTCATAAAATAACGATACTAGCTAGATAGTTAAAAAAAAAAAAAAAAAGGTCCATTTGGGCCTCGTATGCATAATTCGGAAGAGCACTTCTCTAAAAGGTTATAAGTCAGGGCAGCAAGCTCCCCCAGCGCTCTTCTCTGGCTCGACCAATGTACTCTTGTTGGTCTTTTGTTCGCTTGCTGGCATATCTAAAGCAGGATTCTTATCGAAGAAATGGCTAGGCTTAATGGCAAGACGAAAAACCTCGCAAGGCATGACCGGCCAGTCTTCCGGGCGTGGGTTGTGCGTGAATCCAAAGATTGTCCAAACAACTCCGTTTCCGGGAACCAGCGGATCTTTTCTCGCGGCCCACTGGCGCAAACCCGAGTCTTCTTCAAGTCCACCGATTGACTGCCATGGGAATTCTCCAGCTGGGTACAATTCGTTCTCACTCTGCCGGGTGAAATAGAAATGGTGGTCTGCAAATGCGGCACGGCGGAAATGCACAGAGTTAGGATCTGCGAGCAGCAATTGTGTGGCAGGAATGTGGATTTTGTAGCCTTTTTGGTGCCCAGTAACTGAATTGCGACTATCATTGGACACGATCTTGACGGTGCGGTTGGTAGCTGGATTAAGGTCTAAATATCCAGATTCCGTGATGGGTGTCTCTTTAACACGATACATCACACCATATGGGTTGGTTGCCGGGTTCATTGGCTCCGGAATGGTCTCATCGTATTTAACAACTGACGAGTTGTATCCATCCATAGCAGGGTCAAGACGAAGACAAAATATATGTTGATGTGATGGAGCCATCACACCAGGAGAGACCATAATACCATAGTCTAACTTCGTAAAATCTTCTCTCTGATCGGCGGGAACCACAGACATGATACCAGTAGCACGGACTTCGTAATGGAGGGCACCAGCAGTGTCTAAAATCCAGCAAAGAATGTACTCATAATTTGAAATAGTCATAATCTAATCAAGTATAATGAGTAATAGCCAAATCTGGATCCCGAAAAATCGAGATAACTCACAGTCTGAATAACGAGCTCCCGAGCACGGGTCACTTCAGCACGACCATTTCGGTAGTTTGTATGCTTCCACCCGATCCCAGCATCCACTTCGTGCATACAAATACAGTTCTTTCTGATTTCTGGCTCTCCACGCTCGTCACTTAGCCAACGATCGAAGTACCTGATCGAACCCAGACAATCACATCCCAGCTGAAGATTATTGGCAGTAATGCCGACACCACCTTCGCCCAAGTCGTAGGCACTCTTACGATGGAACGGGGAGCGGGGATCGGCATAGGGAACAGTCATCTCAGCCAAAGAAAGGCGGTAAAAGAGGGGACGACCATCGTAACTAACATCACGGAGAACAGCGCCCTCGCGCCAGTTGAAGTCAAGATGGAATCGCCACTTTTGCCAATGAACAACCTGATCATTTGCCTCTACCCTGAAGCTCACGCCTTCGGGCTGCTGGATGCAAATTGGTTTAACGTCACTGCGGATGGACGGCTGCAGATCGGTGGCATACTCTGCATCCGGATTGGGCTGCCACTGATCGTTGTCTCCCGAAATGCTGTCCAATCCCCAACCCATCGGCAGCCTGTCAATGCGAATTACCTTCTTCGTGACATCGTCAACGACGGCCGAAAAGTCGAGGGGGTGTGCGAAGTGGTTGGCAGACGGGTGCTTTTGAGCCCCTGGGTCAATCGATTTCAAGAAGAACCACACCTGGTAACGCTTTGGATCCGGAATATCATTCTCCTTGCCGTAAGGCCAAGTCTCTGGGACCACCTCAGTGTTTGGAGGAAGATTCAATCGTGCAATTTCGCTCTTGACTAGTGGATCATCCAACACGAGATTTTGGACAGCCAACATATCATCCTGGGACGAAGGCAGATGCATACCTCGCGGGAGCTGTCGATGGTGAACAACCGACCCGCTGTAAAGTTCAACGATGTCCTCGAACGCCCCGGATTCTCCTTTGAATTGATAGCTGACGTAGATACGGCGAGCCGGGTATCTCAGTGGGCGCCCCGCCCTCTCCGCTTCGAGAAACTGAACGACTTCATCTTTAGGGGGCTCCTTAACGGCAATAATGCGGAACAAGACGTGTCGGCTAGCAAACTTGTCCTTGACGATCTGGCTGGCTCGACGAACCTCCGAAGGTTGAAGGGTGAGGAGAGGGTGTACTGGGTGATCCATTATGTACGAAGCTCGAAAGCTAGGCTGGCTTTGGAGTATCGGTTGTGGTTGTGTATCTGGGAGGGGGTCCAACAACGAGTTATAGCTGTCCACGAACGATATCAGGAGGGGTGCGACGCGGAATCTACGTCCCAACAGCGGAAACTGCTATTGATCGCCGCACGAGGTAAAGGCATGTCGACTATCATAGTCCAAGTAGCCAAAACTCTGCTCGACTTTGGATCCGGCCTTGGTCGTGTCCAAAGCCGAACCCACCAGCCTGATGTCTTGATAGCACGATGTGTGGAAGGAAAATGGTTGGTTCCCAGCCTCGAACGGGAGAAACTTGACCCGCCCCGCTCCACACGACTTTAGCCAATCACCGTTGGAATATGTCGCAAGTTTAAAGTTAGTCTCCACTAGTTCAAAGCTTATCCAAACTACATCCCCACCCGTTTCGCGTGAGTATTGAGGGGTGGTATTGTTTCTGTACCGGATGTCGCAAGCTGCATGGTTTCGATACCGGGGCCGCGGTCTTCCCTGCGATGAAATGGTACCAAAAGCGTTCCGCAATTCGCCGGTAGTAACCTGGGGTAAAGAAGAGCGGGGTGATGAACGTTCAGGCTCATGGCCTGGAAAGGGTACATATTCACGGTATGGACCGTGTCTACTGGTCCACTCCGGGACGAGTCAAAGAGAAGGTTATACGGAATAGTTAATGAGAACAAAGAGTTCTGTCGGAATAATGGCCGCCCAGACTGTTACCCTACAAGGAGCTGAAGGGCGCTCGATAGAGAGTAAGCGGTCCCCCGATCAACGGCATTACGTTGCAGGGCCATTGCGCTAACGCTTTGCAAAAGTCCCAACTGGTCTGTTTATCAACAATGAGTTTGTTCCATCTTTGACTGGAACCACTCTTGATACCACAAACCCCGCGAATGGGGATCTCCTGGCAACGATCGCAGCAGCCAGCGAAGAAGACATCAATGCTGCAGTTCAATCTGCGAAAGATGCTTTCTACACAACCTGGAAAGCAACTCCTCCCACCACCCGTCAATCGTTGATTCTCAAGCTGGCCGACCTCATCGAACGAGATGTCGATGAGTTCGCGAATCTCGAAGCTCTTGATGGCGGCATTCTCCTCAGCGGCTCGAAGGGGATGCATGTTCCCCATTCCGTCGAGACATTGAGATATTTCGCCGGGTGGGCAGATAAGATCGATGGAAAATCTATTGCTATCCCCAGTGGCATTGCCTACACTCACAGGGAGCCTCTTGGTGTTTGTGCAGCCATCGTGCCTTGGAATGCGCCGCTGTAGGTTCCCGTTCCATACCTTGCTCTTACCCACATATGTTTATGAAGCTAACATGTTCTTAGGATAGTCACGATGTGGAAGCTAGCTCCTTGTATCGCCGCTGGAAATACGCTGGTTCTCAAGACCTCGGAGCTTACTCCTCTCTATGGTATCAAGCTGGCTGCATTGATTAAAGAAGCAGGTTTTCCGGCAGGTGTTGTGAACATCGTAACCGGACTTGGAGCTGTGGCAGGGAGAGCGCTCTCTGAACATATGGACGTGAGAAAGATTGCCTTCACTGGCAGCACTCTTACGGGACGCGCCATCATGAAAGCCGCCGCGTCTTCGAATCTGAAAAAGGTCACCTTAGAACTTGGTGGCAAGGGCCCAACCATTATTTTCGACGATGCTGACCTCCAAAATGCTGTGTTTTGGGCCACGCTCGGTATTACAGCTAACAATGGCCAGATCTGTGTTGCAGGTTCAAGAATATATGTTCAGGAGGGTATCTATGAAAAGTTCATTGCTGCATTCTCCGCCGCTTCCACAAAAGCCGTTGCCGGCGACCCTCTACTGAGCAATACAACCAAAGGCCCCATCGTTAGTGCCGATCAACACTCGAAGATCATGGGGTATATCAAAAAGGGCCAAGATGAAGGAGCTCGTCTGTTGCACGGCGGAGGCCAGCCCGCACCTGGTTACATCGAGAACACGGCCTTCGTCGACGTCAACGAGGACATGACGATCATGAGGGAGGAGATCTTTGGCCCTGTGGCGGTAAGTACATGGCAACCGTTCTCCTCCTATTTATCACTTTACCATCGTTGGTCGTATTCTCGTATGACTCACGAACTACTCCCAGGCCATTTCCAAATTCAAAACAGAAAGCGAGGCTATCCAAAAGGCAAATAATACCGAATACGGCTTGAGCAGTGCCATCTTCACGAACAATGTTTCCAGAGCTGATCGTGTAAGCCGAGCGCTGGAAAGCGGACAGGTTACCGTTAATTCATGGGGTATGGTCCACGCGAATGTGCCGTTTGGAGGCATTAAGATGAGCGGGTTTGGAAAAGATATGGGCGAGGAATCGTTGGATGGCTGGACTGGCACGAAAACAATCAAGTACCACACTCTCCCGGAGGTTCCTAATTAGTTGTAAACCATGGGACCCGCGGAAATGCTACGAGAGAAATCATCCTTGGATGATTGAAATGTCGACTGGAAATTTTCTGGGTCGTCGCTTTTTGGAGTTTGTTGGACCATTGCATGGCGTGTGACACAGTTGATGTATTCGAATGCAGAGTGCCCCATATATATCCCACCAATAGTAAATGCATGTTTCACCTGTTTTTGATGTCCCGCTTGATATCTTGCACCCTACTGGCTCTTTCATCATGAGAAGTTCCCCAATGGCTAATCAAAGTTTAATACGATCAACTCCGTTCATTGTGCCGGTAATGCTCAACTTCTCCATAGTTGCTGGCTAGGCTCGAGACCTGGACAGACGAACTCGAAAGACAGTCTAACAACAAATCATGAAAGCTTGTACTCCGTAGAGTGCGGCAATTGTAGCTGGGTAGTAGATTCATGTTGCACAATAACATCGCGACTGTAGTTCCCGTTATCGACAGAATATCCGGAAGCAAGACGGACCCCAGAAGTCCCAAGCCCAAATATTGGCAACTGCTTATCCTTTGGTATCGCACGTCATCATTAAGTACGGAAGATGTGAGTTCTGTCTGGAAGGATAACAATACGCAATCAAGTCAGACATCAGCCTGCTTCTGTAGAGAACTGGAGTATCAAAAAAATTATATATCCTGATGTTTGCTTTGGATTGGAGGGTTTCACGTTTTGTCTCGGGAGCAGCAGTAATCCGGCAACCCGGCCAAACTTTAGTATAATTTCAACAACGGAAATGTCTGCAAGTTTCGATTTCCGTTTGGACAAGATGAAGGAGGCTATCTTGAAACGAAAACTGATCAATCGGGCCTGTAGGGAGTACAGCGTAACCCGCTTGGGGGATAGCCCGCTACCACTGTGTTGAAGTTGAGAACAATTTCTCCTGATGACATGGATGTGCGTTGGGACACCAAGGATCAGCACCTATTGGCGAGGGTCCAGAGCCTTTTTCTCTTCTCCATCAAAGAGTGGTGAAAAATGCGGCTGGCCGAAGTCGAAGGTTGGAGCCGCGCTGAGTCAGCGGGACGCAGAACGGCAGCGGGTCTTGGCGGGCCGGCACAGCGAAGACGGAAGGCTTCTCCTGACCCTTCTCGACTCTTCTCTGTCCAACGCCCTTTGTGCCCCTGCGTCGCGTGCCTAAGTCGACTGTCCATCATGACCTTCTTTCTTCCATGAGATCTTCGGGTTGCATGTGCTCCTCACACAGTTCAAAAGGGTCAACCGCCCGTTTCCCGGTGCCTTGAACACAGAGCCTTTCTTCATGCCTGTCACGCTCGTCACGGGAGAACCCGACTCTATCCCACTGTTTGAACGGCATAGCCAGTGGCCGGCTGCATAACGGCTACAGTCACCGCAGGCACTCTCCTCCAGGGACTCCAGCATTTTGATGCGAGAGTTTGCGGATAATACCAGCGACGGCGCGCTGACAGACCTCAACCCGCCCCCCCAACATGTCCTCGTGATTAATCAGGCTTTCAACAGTTTGCTGACAACGAGAGATACAACATTTCGGCAAAATGGCGACTACTCTTCCGGCTCCAGAAGATATCATGCTTCCGCCGAGCCCTCCCGAGTCTGTCAGTTCCCCGAATGGCGACGATCAAACCGCTGAAGAGGCTTCCCTGCAACACAATGGAATAACTTCCGAAATAGCCCAAATACAAAGCCCATTGCCTCCTCCACTACATATTCCACCACCTCGCACACGGAGCCCTCTAGCCAAGACACACCTTCGATCGCGGTCTTTCGCTGGATCGCCCGCAGCACCGTGCATGACGCGTGCTCACTCATCGCCAGGTCTGGATTCCCGGGGTCGATATATCTTCGCCAGCAGTCAAGGTAGACATGAGTTGCCTCTTCGACGACCCAGTCCACTTCGCACTTCGTCGGACGAAGCAACTTGCCCGACTATGAGCACTCTGAATATATCCGAGCCGATAGCAGAGCAGCCGGAACCCCAAAGCATTTCTGAATCGCCTCGAGCTCACCTGGAGGTCACTTCGATGCCAGCCGGTTCCTTATCTCCCGGAATTCACAACACATTTCCCCGCTTGGCCCGTCGTCGACCTTCTTCACCGCTTAACCCTTCGTCCACTACGAGTGGATGGCCTAGAAGTACGAGTCCTTCGCCTTCGCAGCAAAGTCTTGTTATCTCTGCGCGATTTAACGAACCCTACCCCTCGTACGCCTTCTCTACCGCCTCATCCATGCCTTCCACACCATCGAGCATGCGCTCCCGCAGCCCTAGTATTTCATCTTTAGAAACAATACCTGATATCCCCGACGCCGAAGCTGCTGCAATAGAAGCCGATCGTATCGCAAAACTAAAAGCTGCTGCCGATAAAGCCGATGAATCTGCCGGAAATAGTGATGTCATTCGGAGAAGAAATGCCATGGACCTCCACAATTCACCGTCCTTGCGATTTGCCATGGGTCGAAAACGGTGGAGTGTCTGTGGGGCAGAGGGGCGGCAGGATCTAGATCTCGAAACGATCTGGGAGGATTAGCCTTGACGGATTCAATCGATCTGAGAGATGTGTTCGGTCTCGAAGGTTACCGTTTTCTCGATGACCCGCCCTTTAGCCCGTCATCATGGCTCTTGTAACAGTACCTTTTCTTTCGTTTGCTTTTTTCATCCCTGCGGTCTTCATACACACGAAATAGCTTGGCGTGGGCGTTGTTTGAGCGAATCGGCCTGGGCGAATAACTACGATACCCCAAATTTCCTGTTTCTTCCCTTCATTTGTCTCCCTGTCTCGATCACCTCGTTCTGGCATTCCTTCTCGCCATGAACAGCCTATGTCCATGGATTCCCGTACCTATTGCCAAGCTTGCGGTTTGCCATTATTTCACTTTCCCACGCTGCACATTTATGCTCATTCACTTTTTCATAGGAGCATACAGTGAAGCATGACCTTATCTTACTCCATATTCGCACCGCCGGCACAGTCGTTTCACTTCTATCTTTTTATTGTTCTTCACGCGGGACCCCTTTCCACGACCGTTCTTGTCCTCAGCGTGACGCAGTACCCTTAATCTTGATATTTGCTTTCTGACTCAGTGACCACTCTGTTACACCGGCGTTTTCTTTCCTTTTTTCCCTTTCTTTTTTTCCCCGTCGAAGCGGAGATTCCGTGTTGATAATGATTCGAGCCAAGCGGTGACGTTGACGGTAGGCAATCGTGCTTTCGTACAGAAGATAGTAACATATTTTTAGTATTCTTTATTTCTGGCATATTATAATTATCTTTACATTATTTATGGTCGTCTTATGCAACTTACCAGCATTTTCAAGACCCCCCAGGACGGGAGGTGGGGGATGGACAGCTTAACTTGTCATAAGGACACCCTGTACCCGTACTTTGCTAGAGCCATTATATTTAAGATGTGTACGAAGTACTGTCTAAATCAAGAGTCCCTTTTCAGAATGTTCTTGCGAACGTCCGAAGAGAGTAAATAAACTTTATCATCAATAGGCGATCTACTCCGTACAGCAAATCGAAACATGGATTAATCCAATGTGTTTGGGATATATATTGAACAAGATAGCTTTAACACTGGGCAGCATGCGGAGCTAGGATGAAGATGGGCGAAACAATATCAAATAAGACTGAGACAGCTACCGAGCAATGCCTCCAAAAAAAAAAAAAGAAAACAATGAGAGTCGAAATGACCGTACCTCAAGGGTTTACACGCAGTCAACCAGGCCTCAAAGACCTCTTCTACGGCTGCGTTACTCTCGGGCTTCCTTTTCTTTACCCGTTAGCAACTCACAAATCTTCTCCGCAACCAGCTCACCGCTCCAATACGCCCCCAGGGTGGTTCCCAGGGCCACAAACGGTGCCGTATGTTCCCCAGCAAACCACAGTCCTCTTTCAACACCGGCAGCTTCTCTCATAATCTCAATATCACGATCTCCTTCTTTCAGTCCAACTTGAAAATTCGAGTAGCTGCCGTTACCGGCCCATGGATCTAGCTGCCATTTCGTGGCGAGGAATGCGATCGGTTTGCAAGATGGGGAGTCCGGATCGTATCCGGGCATGCGTGAGTAAAATGGATGGAGGAAGCCATCGAGGGTCTCGAAGTATTCCTTCGACTCTGGAGAGAGGGAAGATATTTTGTTCACGATGTGGGCTGCGCATGGTCCGTAGGTGTAGAACAGAAGCGTCGGGTGAGCGCATGACTTGGGAAGAGTGGCTAGAGAAAGACATTCTTGGTTCCAGAATGGAATGGCAGGACGATCAACGTAATTTGGGTTGAGGAACTGTGTGAATCCAGGCATCAAAGCTAAATGCCTCGCTTCGTCTTCGGCGGAGTTGGAAGCATTTGAGACCTCTTTGATGCCCTCCACATTCCAGAAAGCTTCCGGAAAATGGACATAAACTTTCTCCAGTTGGCCGTATGATATACTATCAATGGCGGTCGACAGACGGGGTGAGAGAGGTGGGGAGAAGACAGACTTGTTCTTTTTCAACCAACCTAAGGGAAATGTAGCGACGACTTCATCGAACACATACTCCTTGCCAGAAGCAGTGGATACAGTCACATGGTGTTCAACGCGCGGCTTACGGGGCTCCGCTTTAACAGACACCACTGGGTCATTTAGACAAATTTTCGCACCCTCTAGAGCGGGCTCAGCGGCCGTCTGCAAGATATCCTTATATGTTGATGCCACGAAGAGATTTGCTAAAATATCGTCAGTATATGAAGAAGCACAATAGTATTGGAAGAACCTTACTTCCATCGAGGCATTCTTCGAGAAAAAAGAACTTGAGGCTCTGTCTATCAACAGGGGACCCAATATAGGCCCCCCATGACTTTGATAGCTCCATACATGCCTCTTTTTCCGATTGAGAAAATGTAGTCTTTTCGAGCTCTTCTCGAATATAGTCACATAAACTAAGATTGGGGGGTATCGTTGCAGCATTTTTCCGACTATGGTCAAGGGCTTTGTCTATAGTTTCCCACGTGAATTCAGAGAACTTAGTGGCATCTTGTGCGTCCAGTAGCCGTCCAGAAGAGTCGATGATAGCTTGTGGGCCATCCCAAGAATGTGTGACTGTCTTGGTGTGTTTGCTAATACTGACAATAGGATTGTTCTCCGTCCCATGAATCCAATTAGGGCCCCTGAACACATTAGCCACAAGCTTCAAGCATATATGGCTATAGCTTACAGGTCAACAGGAGTACCACCAATATCGCTTTGGCAAATCTGCCAAACAGTCAGGAAGGAAATAACATAATGGAAAACTTGGACAAGGTTAAGAACGACAGCGATACATACACGACCTCCGATTCGATCCCTGGCCTCAAGTATGGTTACTCGAGCTCCTTTTTGGAGAAGGATATCCGCACATCTTAGCCCAGCCAAGCCAGCACCAATGATTCCAATATGAGAGGATTTGGGCAGGGCAAGAGCTGCAGAGCTATCCTTGGAGCTGTTCCAAGACTTAGACTGCTGATGGAGCCTCTCGTGTGTAGGGATCGGCTTCATGATATTGGAGCTTGCTTGCAACCACTTGGTTGTCTGTATGAGACGGTTAGTTCTACACTCCATGGTTAGATACCCGAAAAAATATAGGGAACAGCTAGGCCAAAACAGAAAAGAAAAAAAAGGTTCAATGCCAGACAAAGGTACAAAAAGGATCCTTAGGGGATCAAATAACGGGGAGAGGGGGAATGATAGGTTACAAATGCCCGACCTTGAGGAGCAGATGTTGGCCCCGGGCTTGTATAGGCCGCAACGCTCACGAGACGTAGTCAGCGTGACATCCCCTCTTCTTGAACGAACGGGATTTAAACCAGAAAAGCACACGCATTAAGCCAAGGTCAGCTGGCCAGAGTCAAACTCTCCGACCGGTGCGGATTGGGTTAACGACCGCATTAACCAGAGCTTCTTATTGGAACGCACCTTGGTCGATAGGGGTATCCGGGGTCTCGGTAAGTTATCAAGGGGGCTAGTCAGTCTGCCATGGTCCTTGGAAGTCGAGAATATGGATAACGGCGCATCCCAGAGCGGGCTGGTCGAAAGATGAAGCTGGACTTAAGGCGGCATTGGGGTGTGTTTATTGTTGAGCCCTGGATTGGGTGGTTTTGGCATGCTGCTTTAACAAAGAAGTGGCTGACGGCGCTTGCATGATAGGGGCTGTGCGACTCCAAAGTCACTGCTTACAACAGTATCAACCAGCGGACTGCCTCGAAACTCCTTCGATCCTCCGCTAGCATCGGGCTCTCGTTCAGACCAGAGCGAACCTCATCTCAGCCATTTAAGTTTCTCATTGATAGGCTCCCATACTGCCCCCAACATGACACAATATCTCCACTGGGCCAATGCTCTTCCTGATCAGCGTGTTCGCCATGGAAAGTCTCCAAGTTGGTGTCTGAACATGCTCGCCATACACCCCACAACAAGAGCAAGGGATACGAGAAGCAGAAAACCCTCTAGTCCAATGAGGCTTCTATTATTACGCAATTTCTAGTGGCACGCCGATAGCGTTGACTCTTGAGTAGGCATGAACAGCCTCAAGAGGACGAAGGAAGCAAGCCAAGGAACCTCTTTATGACATCAATCGTCCATTGTCCAAGGCTAGGAAAAGTCTTCATGCATAACATCCAAAAAAAAAGGAAAAGAAAAGAAAAGAAAAGAAAAGAGAAAAAAAAAGGTACATACAAAGGAAAATTATGGAATTCTTTAGGCCGTTGAGGCAGGCGTGATTTGACATTAGACATATTGATTATGGCCCTATCTCCAAGCTCCTTGGCTGAGGGACAACAAGCCCTGGACACAGTCCAAATCTTCTTCTGGATTTGATCCGGCCTCCTTGACAAAGGCAGATGTTTCCTCGCTTTCACCAGCGACAGCAGAACCGTTCTCATTTTTCTCACTTATCATTGCCGATCTGGCACTTTTTGTTCGCCTGAGACGAGAGACGCCCATCTGGCTGGCTTCGAGTTGCTTGCTTGATCTACCCAACACTCGACGGCCACGGGCCTGGGTAGTCTGTTTCTGCACACCGCGTCTTCGAACGCTGGAAATCTGTGTGCCTGGGATCCAATTCTCCTTATCAGAATCCCCAGTGTGGTCCTTCATGTCGTGCGCAAATTTTCTGGCTTTCGCTCCTGAGGATGTGGGAGCTTTTGCGCCAGTTTCCAAACGAGCGAGAGAAGACACTGCCCTAGTGAGCTTCTTTCGTTTCTTTGCTGGGGTTTGTGGCTCTTGAATCTCGTTGGGGATGTGTGACCGAACACCCAATGGTTTTGAATTTTCGCGCTGAGGTCCGCAGCGCGATAAATTATCCACAGAAGTTGAGTCCACCCGTGTATTCAAAGCGTTGGGGAGCGCCGTCCGAGCGTCATCATCACAGTACAGTTCCCACGTACGGGCGTTACGGGATCTCCCAAACGGTTTTATATCCTTTCCTTCAATTCTGCTTCGCATCGTCGGGAAGGATATCGCACTTGTACTGCGACGAAGATGGCCAAATCGCGCTTGCCTGGCGTTGGTGCAGGCGGATTTTGATGGTGAAGGCTCATTTGCAGACCTCACCACTGCTTCGCCATCGGCCGAAAATGAGATTCGAAGGGAATCTCTGGGTTTGGGAGGTGACGGGGTCTTTTCACCTTCCATTCTGACCATTGCCTCCCCATCAAAGGATAAGGAGATACGAAGGGAAGGCGGCGTTGCTAATTGAGAGGGCAATGATCGCCTGGCATGTTTGGCTTCGACCACTTCCTTCACGTCATATTCATCCCATTTCCTTTTGCAGCCGGAACGCTGTTGCACATCCTTTGACACAGGGTCCAATTTGTCCGCCCGGTTTTCGAATGAACCTACGGCCTCATCAGGGCAACTAGTGGTTTCTAGCTCTTCAGTTTGTGTGGAAGCGACTGTGGTCTGCGAACTAGTAGCATGGGCCATTCCACTCTCTTCGATACACTCGTTATCCGGATGTTCGACTGAGACCTCTGGAGAGTACGTCTCCGGTCGCATAGATTTCTTCTGATCCTGAGAAGAAAAGCTCAGCTGGGAGGGTGATGGCCGCGAATCTACATCGTTATCCGACCTATCTTTCTGGGAATCTGTGGTTGTCGTGCTTGAGGAACCGAGGTCGTGCGGCGGAAGGGGTTTGGATCTCCGTCTATCGTTCTGCCGACGATTCTGAAACCAAATCTGCAGATTGTCATTATCATATTCAAAATTAATACGATACACAAGCACAATCATGTCCTACCTGAACCTCTTTATCGCCTAGCGAGACGCGGCTCACAATGTTTGCCCTCGTCACTTTATCTGGCTTTGGGTTCCGCTGGTATTCTGCCTCCAGAATTGCATAGTCCTCTGGGCTATCCAATAATGTTAACACGCGTAACTAAATAATTGAAATGGTAAGGGTACGGCGGGAGGCAGTTTTGCAACAGCTTCCGGGAAAGGTTTACCTTGTTCTTCGGCGCCTCTGGCGACCCAGGATTTTATTGTCGACTTTCGGGGGCTGACCATGAGTAAACGATTTATTTGAGTGAACGAGAAAGGATCCAGTATTTGGCGAAGACCGATCCGCATCGTTCGAGGACGAGGGCTCATTGCCTGTATGCGTATAGTCCGTATCACTCATGGTGAAAAAAAATATAGTCCAACTGGGCAATCAAGAAATCACATAGCAATCGGAAGCTGCTGTGAGTGTCAGTAAATGCCCAGCTGGAGTGGAGGAAGAAAGCTTTGGAGCAGGAAGGACGGGTGCGTTGATATCGCGCGTCTCGGCGTGTACGCGGAGCATCACAGCGCACGGTGCACGGGTGTCAATGTAACATGTATTATTGTCTTGCAGCTCCGTTCGCTTTTCGTTTGGCCGCGGAACCAGCGGGGCTTGGCTTCAACTTTGAGAACCTGGAGTTTCGCTCCAAATCCAAAAAATATTGGCTCAAAAATCTGCGGAACAACAATTAGAAGGTATATTATTCCAGCGAAACTTTAATATCCAAGGTCCTCGAGGAGAAATTTGTCGGCCGCCAGCAGTTCACAAGCAGCGAAGAGTCTCCAGCGAGAAGAAAACATTCCGAGGACGCGTTTAACCGACGCGACGGGACAGCTTAGTCAGCAGTCAGCATCACGCGGGATCATGTGACGTACCCTGCCATCACCGCATCGCGACATGTGCCGTCACCAACAGCTTTGAAACATTCCAACAGAACAGCACGAGAGAGAGGGTGGCAAGGCAGTGCCAAGCTGTTCCCTGAATATCTCTGCTTGTTGTTGATCCCACAAAAAAGTGGTGTGGCTGAGAATCCCTTCTCTGGGGTTCTAGGGCAAAGCTCCGAAGGCTAAGCCAGTCGTCTTCTTCAGCAACGGTTGCCGTCACCCAGCAACCTGGGTGCTGAACCTTTGTCTCTACGACATGGAATTGTCGCGTGGGCGATATTATTCTTTAAATATAGCATACACAACCCTCGCGCAGTTTCACCATTATGAAAGACACCCTGGATTCATTGCTGCAGATTGCCGGATCTCCGCGAAATTGCCCTTCGTTACTGTCTATTTGTTGAACTTTGATATCAACACAGATCCCTGAAGCGGCTCCCATAGGCCTTAAACCTTATACTTTAAGCCGCGATGGATTACTCAGGTCTCCCGGTCCCAGGTCCCTGCTGATGAGGCTGTTCCTAACAATCAGTGGGCGACTTGAAGTAGCCGTTTCCGATTTATAAATATCAGGCATAGTTTGAAACCAAACCATGTGTTCGTTCTTCTCATTTACCAACCATCAAGCAAATTCTGGGGCTAAACCAACGTTATGGGTCATAGCTTCTCGGTATAACCGATTTGCACTTACTCGCTTGACCTATGATTTTTGTTCACGCTTGTTGTTCGGGGTCTTCAGGCGACAGCTTCTGGGAAGGAACATGTTGGCATCGACCTTAATGGTGTGATTGAGACCTTGACGTCATGTTCCTTTTACTTCCAAACAGCCAGTTTGCCTAACGGCCAGCGTCTTGAAGGAGGTATATAAACCTGCTGTTCTTGCCATTACGGCAGTGACCTCAGGATCTTTTCGTTTGGACATAGTGTCACTATACCAGAGAGGACGCCATCTTTGCATATAAGCTGATATTCTACCTGAAAAGCAGTATCTATCCTCTAACGCAGCGATCATGGTGAATGTAGCAATTGCTGGATCAAGTGGCCTAGCCCAGTTTATTGCAAACTATCTCTCTACGAAAACCTGTCATCAATTTATTATACTATCCAGGTTTGTATGTATCCCTGTTCTAATACTCCATTTGTCCTTTTCCAATCGCTAATATTTCCAGCCGAACCCCGGCCTTGTTTCCAGAGGATGGCAAGTCTTAGAAGTTGATTATTACAACAACTCCAAACTCCGGTATATGCTCACGGGGGTGGATGTAGTCATTTCCACTATATCGGGACCCGCTGAGGCTTCTCTTATCACCGCTGCTGCTCAAGTTAATGTGCGCCGTTTCATACCATCTGAATTTGAGGGTCCACCTTCAAAGCGCACCCTCTCCAAGCTCCCAGACCGCGGGAACTGCCAAAGCCTCTCCCTGCTCCAGCAATATGAAATGGAATACACCATCTTTACATGCGGTGTATTTTATGAGCGCTTGGCTCCAGGCGGCATGGCCGCCTTTCAGCTCGGTAAGGGCACATATATTGATAAGGAAGGCGAATACCTTATAAATATTCCTTCAATGGAAACCGAGGTTCCCCATCTCAGCGACGGTCAAGATTCTATGATTTGCATGACTTCTGCCCAAGATGTCGCACGCGCCGTAGTCGCTGCACTTGACTTGCCACGATGGCCTCGCGAGTTCCGAATGTTCGGGGACAGAATGTCGTTAACCGGCCTTGTGGGCACTGTTGAAAGTGTATTCGGTACGTACAGCTATCACAATCCTGTCTTTCATATGTGTACTGAAGATTATTTCTCCGTATTTCTAACAATATATCCCAGGGTGTGAATTCAAGACATCCTTCATCTCTGTTGAATCGCTTTGCTATTTACTTTCACAGGCGGAAGCTTCCGGTGATGTACGGAAACAGCGGCGAGTATGTCATCTCCTAGATACCGTTAACGGTTGTTATGACTTCGATTTGTCCAACGTCGATAGCTTGAATATTCGGCCACAACGATTTCAAGAATGGCTGCGAATGGTTTGGGCTTAGCGCCAAATTTTCAGTGCTTGCCGTCCCCTTCACCTAGCAGCTCCCTCAATTTGAACAACATAATCTCTTCGCCTGGAGTTGGGTTTATGAGGCTAAAAGGGCTCGGAGTTTGATTAGAATATCTGCTTTTTGGGAGAGTTGTGTTTAGATATTTTTGGGGAACTTCGAGGTCAATAATTAAGTAAAATGTTAACGGATCTGACCTGATCTAAACTTCATTGATTGAGCGTAAAAGTTAACCAATACCGCGCTTCGAAACCGGGCTGTTTCTATCAGCTTTACGGCAGGAGTAAAGCGTGAAAGTCGTATCCCACGATTTGCTGCCCTCCCCCCCCCCCAAACCCCCGGGCTCACCGCAAACCATAGTTATAAGAATATTTAACCTCCACATCTACGTGTTGATGCGCCGCAACCTTAAAGTAGTCCGCTCTCTAATTCTCTGCCAACTCCTCGCCTGCGCCGTAGGGTATCTGAGTCCTCTACCATTCCATCGGGAAACTAAGCTCCACCCCAATCTCTGCACATGCTTCTCGTACTTTCGCCACGCTTTCGAGCGCATCGACTGCATCCGAGTTAAAATTGCCACACAAAGCGATTTTTGTCAAGGATGGCGCGACAGTAGGTGAAGCTTTCACAAACCGCGTTACTTCGGACATGATGTACTCGAGGTGGTCGTCCGGCATATCGAGTAAAGTCAACCCTTCGAGGTTCGGCGGTAGGATATCCACAAGCGCGTGAGAATTTGGGTTTTGCAAGTCAAGGATCTGGCGAGTAGTTATACCAATGACCTTTAATGCCCTAAACTCAGCGAACGAAAAAGGGACTTCTGTGGGCCAGGATGGCTCAAAGATATCCCTCCCACGTTCGACGTCTAGCCATAGGTCTTCAAGCGTATCTTTTGTGACTTGAAGAGATTTCCAGATGCCCATTATGTTAAATCGTTGGGGACCAAATTCGTTATGGTGGCTATATTTGAAGACTTTTAGGCTCTTGCAACTTTTGAGGAATGTGGCGATGGATGCTGAGCAACAACTCTGGGTAACTTTAAGGGTTGTAAGCGACGAGTCCGCCCACTGGCCCCTGTTAAGCCAATCTTCACCTAGTTTAGACGTAACCAATGTTTTTAGAGCTGGAAGTCCGATGTAAGGCAGCAGGATGCACGGACCAACGCAGTTGGCAAAGTGAGGCATTATATCAACGAAGGAGAGGCGTGTAAGTATAGGATGCTCGTCGAACGGTTCGCTGCGACGTGCCGCCCGAAAAATGGTCTTAAAGAAATGATTCGAATTGGGAGGAAACTGGGTCATCTTCAAGTTTTCCAGGTTGGGAACCAATATCAGAAGCACAGCCAAGAAGGCATCAACAACACCGGCTCGTATGTCTTCCAACCACTCCCACTCCTCGTCCTGGGAGCGGCTAGCAAAAGTTATTTTCTTTTCCAGGAGCGCATATCTGCGGTGAAGTCGAGGTCGAGACAGAATTTCCTCCCGTGCAGGTCTGCTACTCAATGTCACAGGGCCCACGTAAGCTCCATCCGAGTCCCATAGAAAGAGCTGCAGTTCTCTAATGTGGTCTGCTAATGATGGTCGCTCTAAAAGCGTTCGTAACAAAGTCCTTATCGACCTTTTTGAAATGTAGGGCCCGAGATCGATCGATTTGTAAAAAAGAGGTTCCATTATCGCGTGGAACTGGCGGCAACATAGCATGAAGGCGAATTGATCTTTGCTTTCATTCAACTCTTCTGCAATCAACATCAAGATTTCAAGAGGGAAGGTATCCAAGCGCCGGGTTGTGTGATTAGGGATTATGTTCGTCATATTCCCTGTGACAAGCTCTATAAAGTCACTGGTTTTGATTTTTTCTTTTTCTTTTTCTTTTTTTCCCCCCCTCTAAAAGGCTGAGAGATTGGCAGTGATGAAAGAGTACAGCTAAATCTTGGTAGTTTCTGGTTGGATTTTAACTAAATGTGCAAGACAAAACAACTGGAAGGTCTAGAGTGACAAGTCGGCATGAGTTCCCAGGACAAAAGAAGTTTTCAACGGAGATATGCATCCGGAATGAATATGGTCCCTGTTGCCTATTATCAACGGGAATATCCATTTCACATAGCTCTTGGTAGTATGTAGTGTAACTCAATTGTCAATATGGCAATTCGGCAACATGAATGGAAACATTCACAGCAATGATGTTCTAATGAGGATATATTGACTGAAAGAGAACAATAGGAAGGAAAAGGGCATTAAAGCTGATATCATGTGTTAAATGTGCCATCAGCTTTGAAATTTTATCAGCAAACTGTGATAGTCACTGCAACATTTCCTTTGTCAGGATTTTGGAGTCTGGCAGGGCCCTTGGGCCTATGGCAGCACCTTATGTCTGAGGATCAACTCAAACTCCGAGACATAATTTGTAACAGCTGGCTGTGTAGTTGATTTACAGCGTTAAAGTCAAGAATATCGAGTGATGATACAACCACAGTCTTTGATCGAAGATGCCGGCTTGAAGAGAGTAAATGAGCGACTCGAATGCTATCCTTTCTCTGTCGTTGAAGAACATAGTCGCCTCTCACCACGTCCGTTTCTGTAAAAAAAATCAAATCACGTGGCTCGTTTTTAGCCTCGTTTGCCCGGCATCATTTCAACTACATCCTTCCCAAGGGCATCCTGATCTATATCATAACCTCTGATGGTCAACCTCGCTGGCTTTCCTTCTATATCTCTTTCTCCGTTCACCTCCAGAGACCCTCTTTACACCGCAACCCACTTGGCACAAGGTCTATCATATCGCCTACTTGTAGTGTGCAAGTTTACTGTGCAAATGGCTTCTGTGAACCAGGTACAATACCACAAGGTCCTGATGCCATGATCTCATTTGGCAAGGCCAATTTTGGGCTCCCATACGGTTTTTTTCATCTCATGAACTCCGGCCTATTGCCTCATTATGGAGATTTTCTTTCCATGATATCATCAATGTGCACCAGGCTGCTATTACCTTGCCTAGAACTCGAAACCTTGGTGGCCCTTGAGATCACAGAGCTGCTGTTGTTGTTAACGACATTAGGACTATTATTCAGGTTGTTTTTTTTGAATTAGAAACCGAGGCGCTGAATTATGGCCTATCTATGTGCACATCAGGGAAGCTCAGCCTTGATGAAAATGCTAGCAGGCCATTGTTACAACGCTCTGCAATTATAATCAACAATCATACACAGAGATATAAGTATCATCTCTTTATATATTTGAGAACAGGGTGTCTTCATGCTGATTACACCTTGCAACTTCATTCCACGAATCACCTAACATAACCCAACCCTCGGCAAAGGCCTTATGGACTGTGGTGAATAATCTTTTGAGCTGAAGTGAACTTTCTGCACACTGGTTGACACCCTAGACACGATATGTTTAGATAACTCATACTTATACATACTATGCCCATGCAATCACTATTTGCCAAGGACCACGCGAGGAGCTACAGATTGCCAGCTTCTCTTATGGTAGTTGTTGGAGTTCACTCCATGCTGTCTTCCAAACAGGATAGGGCGGAGCGACCTTTACACTGGGCATGAGTTAATAGACCTACAGTTTGTTAATAAGAAACCATTCTTGTGTTATGGAAGCTACCTTTCAAATGCAGATCATTACCAGGAGATATGAATCTGATTGTTTGCAACCGGCAAATAGAGAACATATTGATAATTACGGACAGTGAAGGAGTGGCAAACCGATACATCATCATCGCCATTGTGGATCAACTCCTATGCCTCGATACCATTTAAAACTCCTTAAATTTCCGAATATGAACCTACCGAAAAAAAATTCCTCAAAGCTACAGCACAATTCAGTTTAAGTATCGTTTGCTCTCAAGCAAAACTCTCTCTTGAACGTTTCAACGTCACACTTCCAAGCAGTCATAATGAAGCCCTCTATCAACATAGCCCTCCTTCTCTCTATCTCCGTCTTTGTATCTGGACAAGCAGATACCTGCAGCAACCCTCCGCAATCTGATAAGGTCGTTCAATTTGCCGACGCTCTCAAGGTCATCTGCCCCAACTCCGCAAGGGAACCATGTATCAATGACCCCAAAGCCCCACATCAATGTCGAAGTGCGTCTCAGGCCGCAGAGCCCATTCTACGCTCCTTCGAGAAATACAACATTACAAACAAAAATGAAATGGCCGCTCTTGTCAGCCTTATGGCGCTGGAATCCGATGAATTTAAATACCAAAAAAACGTTTTCCCTGGCAGGCCAGGACAAGGAAGTATGTCACAACCTCCCTTCTTAGCAAAAGGCTTTTGGAACAAGCAAACAACACAGTCCCATAGTAGCTGATATGTATTTACTCCTTCAGCACGGAACATGCAAATGCCAAAATGGAACGCGCGCTACCTGGCCTCCATCCCCGAACTCAAAGACCAACGCGAGAAAGTGGGCGACGACAAAGCCAAAATCCTTGACCTCCTCCTTAGTAAGGACGATTATGATTTTGGCTCTGCTGCATGGTATATGACATCTCAATGCACCTCTGATGTGCGTAAGGGGCTGCAGGACGGCAAGGAGGATGGATGGGAGAAGTATATCACCGCTTGTGTTGGGACAACTGCTAGCGGCGAGCGATTGCGGTATTGGCAAGTTGCAGTCAAGGAGATGCAGAAGCTTTAGCTGAGGGCTAGTTATGTAGTCTTAGAATGTAATTATGTGATACTGTGCATGATGAAATGATGAAAGCATTTCCTTAGGCCTGTTGTTCCTGAAGCCATGGATTGGATGGAAGTGATTTTGTCTGCTGCTGAGTGCTCTGTCTCTTCTTCGCCCTTGTCTTCTTTTATGCTTGTGTGTATCATCCCGACATACTTTCTTTCGTTTTGACTCCTCTGAGCTGCTAAAACAGCCTTTTCTTCTCCTTTGCCTTCAATGCGTGATGAGAAGGCCAGTTGGGGACAACTGGGACGCTAAAGTTAGATGGTTAGGGCTTAAGGAAGACTAGGGATGGAGGAAGCTACGGGAGTTAATAACTGAATTAGCAGGTTTAGGGCTAGGGGGGTTAGCGAGGGTGAAGTGAAGCTTTGGTGGCTCCGTAAAGAGTGCGCAGTGCCAAGATGTGACAAACTGGGTTCTAACCGCTTTGCCGAAAAAGTGAACACTTTCTGGCAAGGATCAGCAAAGTGAACTTTTGTCCTTGGTAAGGTGTACTCTGAAGCTTTCAAGCTCATAAGCCAATACATCATCACCTGTATGATCATAACAACACACGTAAACGCGTGACTGCGCTAAGCCTCTTTAATTTTAACAATAAAGGACCATCTCGACAGGAGGAGCTCTAATTTCTTCGCCTTGCGCTGTGTGTGCCATCAAAGTTGTTGGGCCGCAGCTATCATCCCTGTTATAATTACTTATTTCCTCTACGGAGTATATTTGTTGCCTTCCTTTGTTTCATTCTATAACAGTGACAAAGATAACTTCATAACTACACTCTGAGAACAACTTTTTAAACCCAGCGAGGATTCTCTAAATACCCTAGATACCCGTTACAAATACTCTCCAACTTCGAATACCTAAATTCAAGTATACATCTATCTTCTTCTATGGCAACTTCAGAAGAAGAACCCCTTATCGATGAAAATGCACCCTTGCAGTCATATTACGCCTCGCTAGAGTCACGAGTTGGTTATCGGCTCTTTCTTGGAGGCACTCGTCATTTTGGCTACTATGATCCCGACACCTTGTGGCCGTTCCCCATCGGAAGAGCTCTTCGTAAAATGGAGGATCATCTCGCGCGATCGCTGGATCTCTTCAAGGGCGCACGGGCGCTAGATGCCGGCTGTGGATATGGTCATGTTGCTATTCATATGGCTCGCAAGCATCATCTGGAAGTAACAGCCATTGATGTTGTGGACCGACACGTGGCGCGAGCTCAGAGAAATGTCGCAGCCGCAGGGCTTAGGGGAGCTATCGTGGTGCAAAAAGCCGATTACCACCACCTCGATTCCTTCTCCGACTCCTCATTCGATGGGGTCTACACCATGGAAACGTTTGTACATGCTACAGATCCAGCCGCCGCCCTTGCCGGGTTCTTCCGTGTCCTGAAGCCGGGAGGATCGATTGCTCTGTATGAATACGACCACGCTAAGTCCCTTGATGCAGCCGAAGAGATGGTCAAGATGTTCGATCAGGTAAACATCCATGCGGCGATGCCATCAAATGCCCTGTTCGAACAGGGCAGGCTTCCTTCGCTTCTCGAAGACGCTGGGTTTGTGGATGTGAAAGTTGCAGACCTCTCAGAGAATATCAAGCCGATGCTCCGCCTGTTCTTTGTTGTTGCGTATATACCCTACCTGATTATTCGACTATTCGGACTCGAGGCCTATTTTATCAACGCCGTTGCAGCCGTGATGGGTTATCGGTATCACTACGCCCATCGCTATGTCGCAGTTACTGCCAAGAAACCTTTAACGGCAGAATATCCAACCCGGAGACGAAGGATATGACCAAGAGTTTAGGATAATTTTTTTTCTTTCACATATCACGACAGAGCGTTTATTTATTATTTAAGTTTTGAATCACGGATTGGTGGGATACTCGAAGCCTTCCCCACTGCGGCCTAGCGGGACGAATGAGGAGAGAAGAAAAGAGAAAAAAAGAAAAAAGAAAGAAAGCAAACAAAAGAGCTAAATGGACTTTCTTGTCTCTTTTGTGAAAAAATTGCTGAAGTGCCAAGATCGTTTGATCAAAGACGAACCGTAATTGCCCTCCTCTAGTAATAAACTGTAAACTGATCTCTCAAGAGGGATCACGAACAGCACAGCTACGGCTACCTCTTGGAGGCGATATGTTCGATAATATTTTGCACTGTCCACTGTGTACACTCTGCACTGACTAAAACATCTGCTGCTTGCGACGATCATAGCCATGAGTAACCTGTACTTTGGACTCCGTATGCACGTTCAATCACGAGCAAATAGGGAGCCTTTCATATATTCCGTGGAGAATGGCTCATCGAATCGGGGCTGGAGGAAAGTCCGCGGACGATATGAAAATATGACTCCTCCCTAGCTCTGGAAAAGCCGCCACGTCGACAAGGCTCCGTCTGTTGGTTCGTAACGCGCCGCGATCTAGGCCGTAATTGGGAGGGGTGCGAGCGAACCCCCAGCCTTGTGGTGGCAGAAAGGAAAAGAGTAACATGATCTCTATCCAGGACCAATTTCGAGCTGTCGGGGCCCATTGCTATCGGAAGCTGTAATGAATTACCTACGACTGGCAAAGTCATGCCTCTCTGTTTCTGCTGACAGCGAAGTGTATGATGGTCCCACCAGCTATGCTCTCCCGTGGCGATTACACCGTCGGCTGGATCTGTGCTCTTCCCTTGGAGCTGGCAGCAGCCCAGGCCATTCTCGATACCATCCACGAAGAGCCACTACTGGATCCTGACTCGAATGACGACAATGGCTATGTTTTTGGGAGTATCGGCGACCATAATGTGGTCATCGCATGTTTGCCAAGCGGGGTGTATGGTACCGTCTCTGCTGCCAGGGTTGCAAAACAAATGACGACGAGTTATAAATCCATACGTTTCAACTTGATGGTTGGTATCGGCGGAGGAGTTCCCTCTACGAAGAAGGATACTCGTCTAGGAGACGTTGTCGTGAGTAAACCGACAGCTACGTCTGGCGGAGTTATTCAGTATGATCTTGGGAAAAGGACAGGGCCCGATCAATTAAAAATCACGGGCACTTTGAACAAGCCACCGCAGGTGCTTCTAACGGCTGCAGCGAAGCTCGAGGCGAGAGATATTCTAGGCCAGAGTCAGTTTTCCCGCTATCTTTCACAGATCATCGAAAGGGACCAGAACGGGGCGTTCGCGTACCCAGGCGCAGACCAGGATATCCTTTTCAGCGCAGACTATGATCATGTCGGAGAAGAAAGTACGTGCAGCCGTTGCGACCAAGGAAAAGTACGGCATCGCGCCGCTCGGAAGACAGAGGCTCCCAAGGTTCATTACGGCCTGATTGCATCGGGAAACCAAGTTATGAGACATGGCCTCACCCGAGATCGGCTAGCTCTTAAGAACGGTATTCTTTGTTTCGAGATGGAGGCCGCCGGTTTAATGGACAATCACCCATGCCTAGTAATTCGTGGCATCTGTGACTACGCAGACTCCCACAAGAACAAGCAATGGCAGGGGTACGCCGCAGCGGCGGCGGCTGCCTATGGCAAAGAGATTCTGATATCTATCCCTGCAAAACCACTGCAAGGGCCATCAGTGGTCCGCGTGCGACAGAGTGAGATTCTTAATGCACTGCTCTTGACCCAGCCTGAGGACGATCGAAACTCCCTTATAATCAGGAAGGGGAAGAGAGTGGAAAACACATGTCAATGGATAATGAAGAACCAACAATATCGACAGTGGCTGGAGCAGACGAACTCACAGATTCTGTGGCTTTCCGGAGGGCCGGGTAAAGGGAAAACGATCCTAGCAATCTATTTGACCGAGGAGCTGGAGCGCTGTGTGAATTTGAAAAGCGGAACAGTGTTGTATTATTTCTGTGACAACCAAGATGAGAAGCGGAACACAGCCCTGGCTGTCCTTAGAGGACTACTGCATCAGTTACTAGAACAACACCCGTACCTTGCACAGTACATTGAAAAATTCTTTGATGGAGTTGAGACAACATCCTATACGGTTTCCAGGTTTGAGCGGTTGTGGAGGGCTTTTTATACTTTGCTGCAGAACGGGGGGCTTAACGAGGTGGTGTGTGTGGTGGACGGCCTCGATGAATGTGAGGACGAGTCTCTGAAATTATTTCTGGATAGCCTCCACAGCCTTTTCCTAGGAAGCAAACCACTAAATACGCACTTTAAATTACTGCTTCTCTCCCGAGCACAACCAACATTTATCGAGAGCAAGCTTGGCCGATTTCCACGCCTCGATCTTGATGTCGATCGCCGTCATGAGCTACGCCGAGATGTTGAAAAGTATATTACCGCCAAAGTCAATGAATTAGAATTGGAGGACCAGCTAGAAGAAAGTAGATTGAAAATAGTTCGAGAGGCTCTGGAAAAAGGCGCAGACGGGACGTTTCTATGGGTCGGGTTTGTCGCTGACGAGCTAAAGGGGAAGAGTAAACACAAGATGGAAGAGATTCTAACGAAAGTCCCCAAAAGACTCGGTGATATTTACAAGCGAATCCTTCATCAGATGGAAGACAAAGAACAACTGGCTCGCATTCTTCAATGGGTTGTATTGGCTCGGCGACCATTGACCTTGACCGAACTGGCGATTGCTGTGGATATCCACGACTCCAATACACAAAGCTGTGTAGAAATCCTCAAAGACCAGCTTTCATCCTGCCGACAGCTCTTGAAGGTTATGGGGGATTCTGTCAGTCTCATCCATAACTCCGCAAAAGACTTTCTCTTAGGAGATGTGCACAGTGGTATCGAAGCTTTTTGTGTGAGGGAAGAAACGCATCTTGTCCTTGCCAGGACCTGTTTGGATACTATTGAAGTAGGTCATAAAACCTCAAACAATATCCGATCTGAACCGGCCGAGTCTACGCTATTTCCGTACGCGAGCCGCTACTGGCTCGATCATCTAAGACAGGTGCCAGATACCATCGAGCAGGACCTTTTCTCTCGACAATTTTTTACCCCAAATTCTTCTGCGCGTGGCAGGTGGTGGGCAGATTACTGGGTCAAGGAGCAATATGGCGTTGCCCCAACGTCCTTCACGCTCCTGCATCTCGCTGCATATTTTGGAGTCACTGCATGGGCTAAAGTGCTTCTTAGAAAAAAAGAGGAGAAGCCGTTTTCGGTCGAGGCCCTGAACACATGAAAGATAGCTATGGCCGGACCCCTTTGTTTTGGGCTGCAAGTAGAGGCCACGGGGAAGTTGCAAGGCTGTTACTCGATAACGGTGCCAATGTTAATTCAAAGGACAAGAATAAATTAACGCCATTGCACGTTGCGACAACTAGCGAACACACAAAGTTGATGACTTTGTTTCTAGATCGGGGAGCTCATATTGAAGCGAAAGGGGCCAGCGGCGATACGCCCTTAGCTCGGGCCATAGAGAACGGGTCAAAGGAGGTGATCAAAGTTCTCCTAGAGAGGGGTGCTAATGAGGAATACTTGCACGCTCAGACTCGAGTGCGACCGGGCGCTCATGCGGCGACAAGGCAAGTTTCTATCGAGGATCGCGCTGAAGCCCTCCTTGACCTTCAAGACGATCTTCTTTTCAGACGATTTGAAAAACGATTCGAGGTGATGGGCTTTGCCTTGGGAAAGGTGCTTTTTCTACTTCGGTTGAAGCCCTTCTTTAAACTTATTGCCAAGTATATGGACTATCAACTTGACCAGCGGGAAGCAAGCAGCTTTGAAGTTCTACGTCAGTTAGTGGTGAAGGACCGATCCACGGGACTAGAAAAAGCCGTGAGGCCTGTTATCAAATTTTGCGATAGAGTGGTCGATTCGAAGGACATTCAGAGGCTGCAAGGCTTGGTAGTAGTCGGCAATAAGCTGGTTCAAAATGCGCTGGCCCCAGGTAGTGAGGCACTTTTAGGTGTGGCAATACAGGTTGGGGTGGCGATGTTCCAGCGGGCGGTCAATCAGCAATTCAGGGAGGGCCTGGACATTATGGGGTATCACAGCGCTCAATCGTTGAAGATTGCCTTCGAGAAAGATAAGCACGACGTCATCAGGAGGGAAGTCAATAAGTGCATGCTGAAATGGTCTACAGATGTCACAAACGGAGGAGAAGGGAGTGTGGACATGCTGGGAGCCGCATGGAGCCTCTACAAATCCATTGTCTTCGACGGCGACCCCATGACCACAAAAGTGATGCTCAATATATACGCCGATGCCTTTGGCGAACTTGTCCGAGGCAAATATTCCGAGAGCTTGTTCAGTGATCTGACAATTGTGTTGTCCAATGATGCAGCTTACTTAGCTAGGCGTCGGGACCACGATGCAGTTCAAACAGTGACGAAATGTCTCATGCTCCTTGCAGAGCGCGGAGACGATGTGTTTCTGGATTTTCTAGTAGATCTAGTCCCTGCATCGTTTCAGCAAATTCTCCACAGGCTGCCTTCTAACCTATGTGCGTGGCTCATAAGCGAAGGGGAATTGCTAGCGAAAGACTGTTTCCTTCAACTACAGCTACAAACTCGAGCACTGAAAGCTCTGATTGAATGCTTGATCCTGATGAAACAAACATACCCTACAGAGCTCGGAGAGACGTTGGGTTACGTTAAGAAAATTTTCGAAACAGTCAAACAAGAACGCATTCTCGACGAGAAGGACATAAACCAGATTTTGTATTACATATTTGGTATCTCCAATGGCGACGCAGCGTCTGACTGCGGTTCTGGATAATGTCTACGACGACGGGTTGATGGGCTGAGATATATTAGCCTCCGGAGCAAGAATGCTGTTTTCATATCTTACAGCCCATCGCCCAAGGGAAGACGCCCTTCTTTATCGCTAGCTTATGGTCAGTTATAAGTCCTCCTCAAGCCAGTTATATATGGAGCTAAATATCTGCTGTTCAGCGCCTAGACGTAAATTGTAGCAGCTAGTTATACAATGCTTGTCCGAGCAAACATTCTTGCAGCGCAGGTTCGTCTCCCTTCCTCCCGCCTCCGAATCCCTACCATCCATGAAGGTATCACGTCATCCAACACAGATCTGAAAACATGTGGTCATCAAAAAATTTCTCTCATCATTTAGACTATCACACTGTGTCAAAAATGTCATACACGTCAGGGGTATGTCGAAAACAAGAGGCCAAAACCAATTGAGGAACACACGGACCATATACACAAAACACAAATGGAGAATAACTCAAGGCTGATTTTCTTTCCCTTTCTTTCCTTGTCCAAACAAACAAAAGAGAAAATGGTCAAATTATCGATTAGAGTAACCAGATTGAACATGTGGATATCTATGCTCCCACAACCGGCGAAAACGCAAACAAGGTTAGATCCCGCATGCAACGCTCGATCGACAACTTGTACTCTAGCTGGGCAGGGCCTCTCCATCCTCCGACTGCAAGTGCGGAAGCTCTCAGGAATTTCTCCGCCCCGAAGGACAACAGAAGCTCGAATGTCACCATGAATACTGCAAGACTCCATTTTCCCACCTAAGACGCCATAAACCCCGATAAAATGCATCAACGTGACTCGTTGGAACCAAGCTCAAAAACAAACATTTGTACAGCTAGAGGTAAATTGAGGATTCCTCGAAGCAGAAATGAAGGGCTAGGATGCCTTGACTCTTGCCACGGTTCCCGCGCTGCCAACTCTTCCACTTGCCTTCCGAACCTTGCCATCGCTTCGCTCTCCCAATCGTCGTGGGCTACTGCGTACTTTGGCCATTCCCAAAACACCGCTTCCGCTCTTGGTGCCGCTTGGACTCTTGACCTTGTTCACGCCTTCAACCCAGTTTTCAACGTCTTCGTGAATGTCTGGTGTAATATTCACCGAAGAACTTGTGGATGGGTGGCTTGGGGCGCGACGAGGAGTCCGAGGGGAAGCCCCGTTTCGGCGTTCTGAATCGTTGTCACCATGATCAGGCGATCGACGGGATGCATTCTTAAGTTTTGTTCGCATGGACTGGACACCCACATCGCCGTCTACACCTAAAGTGCCTGACACGGCGCGAGCATATGGATGATGTCTTGAGTCCTTCCGATGAGACTTGCGAGGTTGGCCTGGGGTTGGGGCGGGAAGGTTTTCGTCTGCGTAGCATGGCGAAGCCTCATTGGTATCGATCTCACCCAAGGCTAGTCTCTTGGACTGGTGGCCGTTCGGTGGAGTAGCGACTTGACTATTTCCATTCAACCGATGCTTCGATGAGGCCCTGCCGGGTGTTGCTGGCATGGAGAGCATCAACTTTTCTTTAAGCGTATCCTCAAACCACCATTCGCGGAATGATCCTTGATTCAAATGCAGCCAGTGCTGCTGCGGACCGACAACCATTCCTGGACGCATAAATCGCATAAATGAGATCACTTCGTTTGCCGTGAAACCATGGCGATAAATTAGATATGCTCCAATCAGACATCCTGTCCGACCCAAGCCAGCTTTGCAGTGGACTGCAATGCCCTTATTCTTTGAGATCATATCGTGGGCAAGTTTTATAAACCGTCGCACAAGAGGTAGTGGTGGGCAGGTTCCGTCTTCGAAGATCATATCAATGTGGTTGATTCCAAGCGCCGTGAAATACGAAGGACTATATAGTTCCGAATTTAGCCTCACGACTAGTCCGATATTTCTTGATGCGAAGTGAGTCAGGACATTCTTGAAGGGCACAGGTAGCTGGGAAGCGTAGACTTCGGAAATGGTGGATGGGAGGGCTGCAAACTCGGGAGAATTTTGGGGAATGGGTGCAACGGGCTCGTATTGCGGCGATGCAAAGGCGAGAAAATGAGGTGTGATCCAGTTGAAATCACCCATGTCGACTCGCTCGTACTTTTCATACCTGTTCTGCTTGTAAGGAATGGGTACAAAGGGAAAAAAAAAAAAGGCGAAGCTTATCAGGATACTAACTCTTCGAGGCTGAATTCTTTTAGGCCACACAAGGTCTCTTCCTTCGCTTTCCAGACGCCATAGACGATATCTTGAATGGTAAGAACAAAGTCCGCTTGACTATATCCTGCATCACGGAACGGCATATACGGAGGATCCGCTTGGGCGATAGGAGCCAGCGCCAGATGCGGAGGCCAGGACTGAATCAGGACCATATAGCAAGCCACCAGGCAGGCTATATTGGCACGGCTTCTTGAATCCGGTTTTGTCCACAGAACGACTGGTCGGTCCTTGTTTGCAGGGTTCCCCAGGACTTCGTGGAAGTGGACTGCAAACCTGTAGAGATGGCCGATGTGCAGGGGGCCGAAGTCGGCATGAAAAGCGTTGTAAAGAACGACATCGTCCACAGTGAAGTAAACCGGCTTCACTCCCCTTGCCGGGCTTGGAGGCACGGCTGAGCGCCTTTTGCTCGGCGACTTGGGTGGCACTGGGCGGAATGGCAACGGGGAATTCTCGTTTGGTGGAGTGTAGTACGAAGCGAGATACAGTCGATCTTAAAATACGGTAGAGTTAGCTATGCTCGATTTGAGACAGAAATTGAAAATCGCATCTGCGCACCTTCAATGTACTCGATCACCTGTCCGTAGGGACCTGAATGCGCCGGCATTTTGTCTGGCTTGAGAGAAACTAAGCTGGTACCGATAAGAGGTAGATACGCAGTCGCACGTTCAACAATAACAGCAGATATCCTCCCCTCGAACCGGATGGGTACCAGCTATCACAGTAAAACAGTGATCTGGTGGAGAGAGAGAGTCGAGCTTGGTGTTAATTATCACGGAAGCATGACCTTGCAGAGCGCGGCGAGATGCTGGAACGATGTAACAATAATTAGGAGAACAGCGAGAATGAGAGAGTGAGCAGGAAGGGCAGCAAACTATATTAACAACTTCCTGAGCTATGAAGGACAGAAGAATGATACAGAGGTAAGCGATGCAGCGGCGGACTTGAAGAATAACAAATCTGAGCCAGAGCACAACATTGCCTACGATCCCTGCAGGATTGTTATGTTGTGAGTCGCCCCGATTGGGTTTAGGCGGTGCATGTTGGCTGGACAACCCTTTCCCAAAGCAGCAGAGTGTTTGTTTGTTGATTGGTCCAAATGTCAGCCTGTCACCCAACTACAACCCGACCATGCCGGATGTGGTATAGTATAGCCCCGTTGACTTGGCGGGATTGTGGTTGTTGCTGTCACATGATTACCAAAGAGCCAAAGCCCGCTCTGTCCAAACCAAGCAGCTTTCCTTCTTGCGCTGGCATCAAAACAAAAACAAAAAACTAGTCACTATCACTTTGAGCTGACAGGGAGGAGCATGTCTCATGCTGTCTCAGATGCGAAATATTAGTTACATCCCTTTGTTGCCCTCTCTCTCTTTCTCCCCACACGCACACAGACGGTGTTTCTTGTGGGAGAGATCAGGCTGCTGTACGGTATGGAGCATGAGTTCACAGAAAAGGCGCCTGGTAGAGAGTAGCATGCCATTTGTGTAACATTATAGAGAATGTAGAATGTCCTCTTGAACCTCCTCCGCACTTGCTCTGGGCACTATTGTCTTGCAGCTCATGCCCCATGTACACAACACGCCTTTTGCTGCTCATGAGATTCGATGAGGTCGCGCGAGATTCCGTGCCGGGTCGACAATAATCCGGCCGAAATTAGACTGATGGAGGACTTGTATGCTTGTCATTCGCTAAGCTACCTAAAGGGGAATCTCGCTAATCTATATGGGTCACATGAGTGAGGTGCTAGTTGGATTACCTAACACCCCCCCATGCAATGAGCTCCAGCAGTGAGCAAGAGTCACAAAGATTCAAAGCTTCCAAATCTCTCAAATCTGTAATAAAAATTAATTACAAAATCCAGATTTATTTCTTCTTTAGGCTTAGCTCTGTTTGCCATGATACAGTATTTTTACTGGCTTTACTGATAAATCTCCATATTTTCCTGTATTAATCTGTCACCTCTATTATACTTATGAATTGAGTGTAGAAATTCATTACAAGAGCCTTTATAAGTCTGTCAGCTTTATTTGTATTGCTTCTAATGTACTCAATTGAGATTTTATTCTTTTGCATTCAGTCTCTTAGTATATAGTGCTGAATCTCAATATGGTGTGCTTTTTGTATTATAGCTTCAGCTTTGGCTAAGTTAATGGCTCTCTTGTTGTCAACACTTAATTTTGAGCTTCTTAGTCTTGCTAAGCCTTCACTAATTATTCTGGCATCTATCAACAGGTTGTTGATTCAAACCAGTTCACAAGTGGCTTTGCTAGCTGCCAAATACTCTGCTTTGGTTGTAGATTTCAAGACAGATGTCTGGTGCTATAATCTTCATGATATTGAAGCTCTGTTCATGATAATAATATAGCTGCTGGTGGATTTGTACACAGGATTGGCTTTAGTTCAGTCAGAATCTGAACTGGCTGCTGGTTTCAAGTCTTCAGAATCCATATCTCTTTTGAAGACTATTTCTTTTAATTTTGTGCTCTTGAGGTAGTGTAGAATCTGCTTGAATACTGTCCAGCTCTCTCTATTAGACCTGCTGTTAAATCTTGCCAGATAATTGACTGTAAATGCAATATCCAGTCTTATACATGTAACTAGAAACTGTAGAGAGTCCAGGTCTTTTCTGTAATTTGTAGATATAGCCTGCTTGTCAACTTCATCTTTAAGAGTCTGATCTGATATAAATTTGATGCTTATTTCTTTCTTTATTGGTATTTTGGAAGGTTTGCAGTCTTCCATTTCATATTCAGTCAGTAAATTCTTGATATACTGTTTCTGGTTTACAAAAAGATCTTCATTTGGCTGCTTTTAAACCTGCATGTCTAGATAATGGCTCTGTTCTGTAATCTTCTTGATCTTGAAGTATTTCTGAAGCTTCTTGATGAGTCATTCTGTTTTAGCTTTGTTGGATCTTATTATATAGCAGTTGTTGACATGTAAAGTTAGATAGATTTGCTTTCTCTTGTGGTAGAGTAGGCCTGTATTATATGGAGAGATCTGGAATTCTAGAGATTTCAGATAGTCAGTAGCTGCTTGATACCAAAGTCTAGCAGCTTGCTTTAACCTGTAGAGTTCCTGACATAAGAGCTCTACTAGATTATTCTGCCTGTGCTTGAATCCAGTAGATAGTTGAATGTATACATATTTGTTCTCTGAAAGAGTTTCATTTAGAAAGACTGTCACAAAGTCAAAGACTCTGATCTTCCAGTTCTTAGCTGTTGAGATTGCAAAGAAGACTCTTGTTGTAGATTTACTGATAACTACTGTATAAATCTTCTTGTAGTGAACACCTTCTTGCTGTTTGAATCTGTATATGATTCAACAGGCTTTAAATTATACTGTGCCACCTGTATTGTTGAGCTTTCTATTGAATACTCATTTGCCAGAGAGAATCTGCATTTCAGATTTCTTCTTGACTAGAATTCAGATGTCTTTCTCTTGTAGTTTGAAGACTTCAACATCTAGAGTCTTCTTTCAATAAAGTTACTCTTCAGAGTGTTTGACTTTAATAATGGATTTTAGTATATCTGTATGCATGCTGAGCACTGAAAGCTCAGCTTCATTCATCTCTTCTTCTTCTGTTGCATTCAAGAGAATTTCTTGCTCTTCATTCAGGTATGTGAGCTCTAAAGCCTCTAATTTGCCATCTGTAAGCTTCTTCATGATTTCTGGCTTCTCCTTCATAAGATAAGCTAGTAACTTGTGTTGCCAGCTGTTTAATGAATTTATATAATTGTACTCCTCTGGAAGTTCAACATATTCAGCTTCAGTTAGTGAATTCATAGAGATTTGATCCAATTTCTTGTTGAATATAACATCTTGTGAGATTATTATACTGTTCATTTCTGGGTCCCAAAGCCTGTAGATGTGCATGCCACAATATTCTACAAATTTAATCTTCTTGAATCTAGATTGAAGCTTCAAGAATTTGTTCAAAATCTTCATGTAGATATCATATCTTCATCTATAAACTCATCTGCAATGGGGTTGGTGATCTGTTCAGGCTTTAAAGAGTGTCAACAGCTTTGTGTTCTTGCATCTGTATAGAGGCACTGAGATAGGCAATAGATTCACTATCATGAAGACTGTAGTGAGAGCTTTGCTCCATAACTTATTAGGTAGTCCTGAGTCTATAAGTATGCTTCTTGTTTGCTTGCAAAGAAGTTGTATTTCTTGTTTACTTATTCCATCTTGTTAAGATGTATATGGGCATGTAATCTTCTGTTGTATACTCTTGCTTCTGTAGAATTCAGCCAGTTGTTGGCTTGTCAATTTGAAAGCTTTATTGAACAGTATAGTACTGATTTTTTATTTAGTAGACACTTTAATCATGTTGATTCAGTTCTTTAGGGTTTCTGGAGCTTCTATTCACTTCTTCAGAAGGTAGATTTATCTGTATCATGTGGCATTGTCTGTTATAAGTAGGAAATATTTTGCTCTGCTGTAGCTTGGAGAATTGGAGTCTGTAAATAGAATATGGCTGCCACCTGCAATATTAATAAAAATTTTAGCTCCAGGCTTTGTAGAGTGTGTTCTAGATTTAAATAGATTGTAAGCTTGCTTAACTTTAGTACAGGTTTCACAAAACTCTAGCTTCTTTACTCTCTTTATTCATATTGCCATTCTTGAATCTCTAGCTAGAATAGTTATATTGTGGATGTTAAGATGCCTCTAGTATTTATGTTAATTAATCATTGTATTCTTCTTGATTTCTGACATCTTTATTAGATGATTCAGTGCCAAAAGCATATCATCTCTATCTTTATTCTCTAGAGTTGCTGTTATATAGCAGAGCTCTAGAAGTTTTGTAGATACTGAAAATATGTATGTCAGTAAATTGTGTATTCTAGACATTTATAGAACTAGAATATTATTCTTGTTAAGTACAGCTTCAAAGCTCTGTATTTTATCTGCTGATTCTAGTAGAAAGATGTGTTCTCTGTTGACATAAAGCTGTTTCACTGTAAAGCTGTCTTGTATAAGCTTCCCAAAGCTTATGAGATTAATCTGAAGGTCAGGTACAATTCTAACTCCCCCAATGCTCAATTCTCCATTGTCAGTTTGAATACTGGCTGTGCCAAATTCTCTGGTAACTGATTTTAAACTGTTTGCCATAAGCAGTTATGTTGCATGGCTTTTTGAGTTCATTTGAACTAGATCTGTATGTGAGATCACATGGAATCTGGCTCCAGAGTCAAGAATTCATTTGTCTGTGAATTTGTATGCTTCTTTTATAGAGAAGACTACTTTATAAACTGAATGAATCTTGTCTGTTATAACTGTAGCTGTTTTCTTATCTTTATCTTTAGAGTCTTCTTTAGACTTATTAGGCTTTGAATTCTTGTTAGATTTGCAAAATTTAGTCAAATGGCCAGATTTGTTATAAATATAGCAGTTCCAGTTCTGCAGTGAGCTCTTCTCTAAATTGAATTTGGAGTTTGTCTTCTTATAAGATTTTTGGGAATCTGAGCTTGTTGCATTTATATTTAACTTTATAGATCTGTCTTTCTTCAGATCTTTCTTGAGAATTTGATGAAGAATATTCTTCAGTAGATCTTTTAAATTCTTCTTCAGTAGATTTGTTCTGCTCTGATATGCTATATTAAATCAGTTCTGTATGAACTCTCTTCATTGGAATGTAATGTTCATCTTCAAGATATTATGTAGAATGTGGTCCAGTTATTTGAACTCTAATCTCTCAAATTTTCTACAGATTACTAGAAATCTTTCTATATAATTTCTTTCTGAGTCAGCAGACTGTAGTGTTATTCTCACTAACTCTGTAAGTAGGCTTTCTCACTGTATCTCAGATTTCTCTTGAAAGACTGTTCTTACAGCTTTCCAGAGTTTATAAGTACTAAAACTATCTGATTTCTTGAAGTGTTCTCTGGCTTGTGCAGATATTATATTGTTAATTAGACTATATAGTTAATTATTCTGAATGTTTCAGTATTATAAAATCTTCAAGTATTCTGATTATAGTAAAGTCTCTTGTCTTTCCAGAATAATTCTCTCAACATCTACTTGATAGACTATCTTTAAAATAGCTTTACTTTATGCTAGATAGTTACTGGCTCCAGTCAAAGTCATAAACTTCTTTACTGTCTTTGTGATCTTTATGAATTGAGTGATTGCTCTGCTGATTCACATATTTATATCTATAAGATTGTTAACATATTCTTCTAGTTTCTTATTAGAGTCTATTTTTCAGTTCTCTTCTTCTTCTTATTAAGCTTTGTACTCTAGATTCTTCTGTATTGTTACAGATGTGTTTGTGGTGCTTGCTTAATCTGATAGAAGATTTACTTGCTGTACTAGCTATTGTACTATTTTTTATTGTCTTTGTATTAACTTCTGTTGTCTTTACATCATCTTCTGTTAATTCAGTATCATTCTGTACAACATTTAGAGTTCACTCTTCTCTCTAGACTTCTGCTTGTTGTTTGGCAGGCTGTCTCTAAGCCTACTTGACTATCTAAGCTTGATTTAGAGTGTAGAAAGGTTTGTTGAAGCTTTTCAGTTAAGAGTTTGGTGCTCTGGTTTGTCTGTACAGTTCACCATGGCTTTGATATTGCCAGATGCTTGATTTGCTTGCTAGATGTGTTTAGCAGGCATTTCACTCACTCTCTGATTGTATGCCAGAAAGCTACAGGGTTCAACTTGCTCTCCAGCTTGGTGCTAGAAAGCTACAGAGGTTTGCATATATAGAAGATGTCTATCTTGATGTACACTCTCTTTAGTGCTTGTAAAACCTTATTATTCACAAGAATAACTGTTCAGGATGTTGATTATAAGCTTCAATAACCAATTGAGCTGTAAATCATTCTTATATGCTTGCTCTTCAGTGCAAAGAGCTATAACCTGATGGAGGACTTGTATGCTTGTCATTCGCTAAGCTACCTAAAGGGGAATCTGGCTAATCTATGTGGGTCACGTGAGCGAGGTGCTAGTTGGATTACCTAACATAGACTTCCCGCCCCGCCATGTGTCTCGTGGGGCGCAAACGCATTCGAAGGCCTCGAGGGTTGCCATGTAATCACCACCATCAGGAGTCGGCGTAGCACAAGATCAGGCATAGCAACAGGCTGTCGTGCAGGGAGAGTCCTTGTATGAACTTGCGGCTAAGCAAAAAGCCACGTCCACACCACTCTTCTGTCTTCAGGTGTATTCTCTAGCCGAGGATATTATCACGCGCCCACCGGAGCGGTAGAAGAGTAACAGTTACAATGGCTAAAATCGATCCCGAATTCCCTTATTCTTTGTGCGTTTTCTTTTTCTTTTCTTTTTTTTCCCCCAATCTTCCACGGAGGCGGTTATCCCTCCAATTGCTACCAAATGAGAAGAATAAGCCTGACAAAAACACAAACAATAGAACCGTCTCTCTCCCGCTCCCAACCCACCGTCTTGCCTCCTCCGCCCTTCGTGCACTCCAAGTCGATGAAGAGCTGTCCCCGCTCGTCCGTCGCACACTCAGGCTCACGAGACCCGATCTATCACCACCGCTCCCGGCAGCACAGATATCGCCCATGATACCGGCAGATGACGCCACAGAGCGTCGCGAAGGAGGCACCAGTTACGACGACGAATCGCTTACCGTATTGCAGACAGAATACAAAGCGACAACAAATCGCATGTTGCGTGTTGCTGTGAATGCGTTTATGGAGAGCTTGGGGGTGGTGCTAGGCGTGATGGAGGAGTTAGACGTGGATGTCTTGGGATCGGAGCTAGGGAGATGACGAAAGAGGGTTAAAAAACATTAAAATATGGAAGGACAAAATTTGCTTCAGGACTTAAGCGCGGTGCATGGTTTTGGTTTGAATTTCGCATGTAGCGGTGTTTTTTGGCGTAATGTTTCATTCATCCCATTTGTGTTGGAGATATCACCTTCATCAGTCAGGTGTTTTGTTGTGATTGTGCTTCTTCTAAGATTCTCACAGTGGATATGTCCCTCGTGCCTAATCTATGGTTTTATGCACAGTCCATTTACTGCTATAATTTCCTCAAAAGAGGGTTGAAAATACCACCTAGAAACGCCTTACCCAGAGGTTTCAACCCAACTCTTACGCCCAATCATCCGGTGAGCGAAATTTTCGAATCCAATTAATGATCGTCCGGGTTAAATCTTTTTTCCAAATGGGAATCTCAACGTATCCATCAAAAACCTCAGGAAGGGAAATGCCAGAAGCTTGGAAAGACCGCGGCGCCAATGCGATGAGAGGAGTGGGAAGCTTGGCTCCTTCCCTCTCGAATATACGCATCTTCTTCGCCGTCTCTTCTCCATGTGCTTCGGGCCCTGTGATCTCTAGAAAGACAACGTCATATTTTTCCCTGGTAAACAGTTCATATGCTTGTTGGCCGTTTTCACAGACCGTGGATTCCAGAGTATCAAAGGTTCCTAAGAGTTTTTTGAACAGAAGGCGATTGATATTGTCAGGTTCGACGGCGAGAATGTGAGCGCCGGCTGGAAGAGGTAACGAGTCGAAGGCCGAGTGGATGGAATACCCTAGGTCGGCCTGGTTGCGGCATGAGATGCAGAAAGTAGAAGGATCTAGCTTCAATAGTGGTGCAAGGTCCAGAAATTCAGCTGAGCTGGAAAGAATGGTCGGGGTCGCATTGAGAAGTGGTATCGCTCGAATGTTGTGCAAGACGTCCACAGAATTGACAATGATTGCTTCGAAGGGGGTTTTAGGGTGTAATTTAGGCGGCCACCGGCCGTCTTCCGAAGAAACGATATCTTCTGGGTTCAAAGCCAGCGTATTCAGGGGGAATGCCTCAAGCATACCCTGAATTTGGTCGCTTTCATTGGCGATATCGTCGACGATAAGAATTCGATTGTCCTCGTACTTCGAGATGTCTGAAGTCATCCGAGCTAAATTTGGTATGTCTCTCTTTACAGTAACGGAAAAGTGAAGCACAGAGCCATGGTCATGCTCCGCTGCTGTTTCCCATATTCGGCCATCCATCAATTGTATTAGCTGATGCGTTACTGCTTGAGTTAAGCCAGTTGCGTCCGTCCACTCCTCGAGCATTGAGTCACTGATCCGGCGATAAGACTGATAGGATGCTGGTCCGCATCCCTTTCTTTCCAGCAAACGTGCATTTGTGACGGAGAACTCGAGTTCAATGACGTCGGAGGCACTGCTTCCCGAGGATGTCCTGGCGGTAACTTTAACCTGGCCTTTTTTTGTGCGCGCGATTGCATTGCTGATCAGATTAAACAGGACCTGGCGCAACCGAGGAGCTTCGTAGACGAGATACTCCGGTATCGAGTTATCAACTTCGTAAGCTACATCAACGCCCTTCTTTGCAGCAATCGTCCAGAGTTCCCTAAATGTGGGGATCATGTACCCCCTAAACTGGCATCGAGACGGCCGCAGCGTCAACTCATTTGCTTGGGCAAGCAAACAATCCATGAGGTTATTCTTGGCTCTGAACAATCTGCTCATGTTCCTGCAGATCGTGTCTAGAGGATCACAATATTGGGGTGGGAGTCCGCTTGAGGGACACATCGATCTTGTTTCTTTCATGATGTTGTTCATCCAGATATCAATTTCGTCGGAAATCTGCCGAATGGAAACCGGATTGCCAGCCAGCTGGAACCTCTGGCGTTGGTCACCCACATTTTCGTTCTTCGAACTCTTTCTATTCATGCTTGGTGATGGTAGGTTTCCTCGCCGTTGAAATTTGATCAGCGTCTGAAGCGAGGAGGGACTCGAAGGGTGGAAGTTACACGTAAGGAGCAGTATACTTGAGAATAATTTATTGATCGGGAAAAGCAAGTCTGTGTTGTCGGCGTCTACAGCAGAATGTCCAACACCGCCTTGGGGGTCGTACCGCTCCCCCACTCGACTAGCTGCATGCGACCGGGCCAGCCCTTTTTTTGTCCATGGACGATCGGCGGCAACACAACAGGAAAACCCATACATGCACACTCGGCTCACATGGAATAATCTGCGAACATGAGACGCGATTCCAAATCGACTGTGTGTCCAAAGAGAGAAACAGGCCCAGCCTGGACTCCAATATCTGCTGCACAGCAGTGTCAGGAGGAATTAAGTTGGAGCGACAAGGTTCAGAAGTACGAGCCCAAAGCCCAGATGCGAATGCCGAGCGCAGAAGGTTGTCTCGGAACCACTTCCCCGTGGCTTGCGCATCCAGCATTCCCTGCCTGTCGCGTTTTAAGCACGCAACAAGGTTCCTGGGGTCCAGCCTTGATGAGGTGGACAGGTAACGACAGAATTGAGGCCGGGTCGGGATGAGGTTGATGGAGGACTTGTATGCTTGTCATTCGCTAAGCTACCTAAAGGGGAATCTGGCTAATCTATGTGGGTCACGTGAGCGAGGTGCTAGTTGGATTACCTAACACCCCCCCATGCAATGAGCTCCAGCAGTGAGCAAGAGCCACAAAGATCCAAAGCTTCCTAATCTCTCAAATCTGTGATAAAAATTAATTACAAAATTCAGATTTATTTCTTCTTTAGGCTTAGCTCCATTCACCACAATATGGTATTTTTGCTGGCTTTACTGATAAACCTCCATATTTTCCTGTATTAATCCATCATCTCTATTGTGCTTATGAATTAAGTATAGAGATTCATTGCAAGAGTCTTCATGAGTCTGTCAGCTTTATTTGCATCACTTCTAATATACTTAATTAAGATTTCATCCTTTTGCATCCAGTCTTTTAGCATATAATGCCAAATCTTAATATGGTGTGCTCTTCATATTATAGCTTCAGCTTTGGCTAAGTCAACAGCTCTCTTGTTATCAACACTTAATTTTGAGCTTCTTAGCCTTGCTGAGCCTTTACTAATTACTTCAGCATCTATCAACAGGTTGTTGATTCAAACCAGTTCACAAGCAGCTTCACTAGCTGTCAAATACTCTGCTTTGATTGTAGATTTTGAGATGGATGTCTGGTGCTGTAATCTTCATGATATTGGAGCTCTGTTCATGGTAATAATATAGCTGCTGGTGGATTTATATGCAGAATTGGCTCCAGTCCAGTCAGAATCTGAACTGGCTGCTGGTTTCAAGTCTTCAGAATTCATATTTCTTTTGAAGACTATTTCTTTTGATTTTGTGTTCTTGAGATAGTGTAGAATCTGCTTGAATGCTGCCCAGCTCTCCCTATTAGATCTGCTGTTGAATCTCACCAGATAATTAACTATGAATGCAATATCCAGTCTTGTACATGTAACTAGAAACTGTAGAGAGTCCAGGCCTTTCCTGTAATTTATAGATGTAGCCTGCTTGTTAACTCCATCTTTAAGAATCTGATCTGGTACAAATTTGATGCTTATTTCTTTCTTCATTAGCATTTTAGAAGGTTTGCAGTCTTCTATTTCATATTTGATCAGTAAATTCTTGATATACTGTTTCTGATTCATAAAAAGGTCTTCATTTGGCTGCTTTTGAATCCACATGTCTAGATAATGGTCCTGTTCTGTAATCTTCTTGATTTCAAAGTGTTTCTGAAGTTTCTTGATGAGTTATTCTGTTTTGGCTTTATTGGGTCCCATTATATGACAGTCATTAACATGTAGGGTTAGATAGATTTGCTTTCTCTTGTGGTAGAGTAGGCCTGTATTGTATGGAGAGATCTGGAATTCTAGAGATTTCAGATAGTTAGTAGCTGCTTGATACCAAAGTCTAGCAGCTTGCTTTAATCTATAGAGTCTCTGATATAAGAGCTCTACTAGATTACTCTGCCTGTGCTTGAATTCAGTAAATAGTTGAACATATACATATTCATCCTCTGGAAGAGTTTCATTTAGAAAGGCTGTCACAAAGTTAAAGACTCTGATCTTCCAGTTCTTGACTGTTGAGATAGTAAAGAAGGCTCTTATTGTAGATTCACTGATAACTGCTGTATAAATCTTCTTGTAGTGAACACCTTCTTGCTGTTCAAATCCACATATGACCCAACAGGCTTTGAATTATACTGTACCACCTGTGTTGTTGAGCTTTCTATTAAATACCCATTTGCCAGAGAGAATCTGCATTTCAGGTTTCTTCTTGACTAGAATTCAGGTGCCTTTCTCTTATAGTTTGGAGACTCCAACATCTAGAGCCTTCTTCTAATAAAGCCACTCTTCAGAGTATTTGGCTTTGATGATGGATTTTAGTATGTCTGTACACATGCTGAGCACTGGAAGCTCAGCTTCATTCACCTCTTCTTCTTCTGTTGCATTCAAGAGAATTTCTTGCTCTTTGCTCAAGTATGTGAGCTCTAAAGTCTCTAATTCATCATTCACAAGCTTCTTCATGATTTCTGGCTTCTCCTTCACAAGATAAGCTAGTAACTTGTGTTGCCAGCCATTCAATGAATCTATATAATTGTACTCCTCTGGAAGTTCAATGTATTCAGCTTCAGTTAGTGAATTTGTAGAGATTTGATTTAATTTCTTGTTGAATATAACATCTTGCAAAATCATTATACTATTCATTTCTGGGTCCCAAAGCCTGTAGGTGTGCATGTCATAATATTCTACAAATTTGATCTTCTTGAACCTAGATTGAAGCTTTAAGAATTTATTTAAAATCTTTATGTAGGTGTCACATCTTCACCTATAGACTTATCTGCAATGGGGTTGGTGACCTGTCCAGACTTCAAAAAGTGTCAACAGCTTTATGTTCTTGCATCTGTATAGAGGCACTGAGGTAGATGATAGATTCACCATTATGAAGACTGTGGTAAGAGCTTCACTCCATAACTTATTAAGTAGTTCTGAGTCTATAAGTATGCTTCTTGTTTACTTGCAAAGAAGTTGTATTTCTTATTTACTTGTTCCATCTTGTTGAGATGTATATAAGCATATAATCTTCTGTTATATACTCTTGCTCCTGTAGAATTCAGCCAGTTGTTGGCTTGTCAATTTGGGAGCTTTATTGAACAGTATAGTGCTGAT